CTGCCCCTTGGCTCCATCTGCATCCTGGTTGCTGTTCTCTGGGTCCCTGCCGCGCTAACAACATAAGCCCCTCGCTTGGTAATTGCCAGATGAATAGAGGACGATCATGGGAGACACCAGAGGGAAATGGAAGTGGCAGGAGGTGGCTCTGGTGCAGGAATGCCATCCATCCGTATTATCCTCTGGATTAATGGCATCCAGGAAAAGTGCTGCTCCCTGCGTCTCTACATGTAAAGTGTGAATACAAATCACCTTTTACTCACTGGTAATCTGGGATAGTGTGCTTAATAACCATTTGCAGACTGATTGTCTTCATTGTTTTGTGCACCAGGGAGGGGATTTTTATTTTTTTTTAACCAACATTCTATTCTTGCTCCTCCTTTCTGAGGTGGTAAGGAAAGAGGTATAAGTTTCCATTACTAGCAAGAATAATAGATAATATTAGACAATAGGATTAGCAAATAATTGGGTGCCTAATAGATATTAGACAATAGGATTAGCAAGTAATTTGGTGAATGGTTACAGGTGTAAAGTAGAAATGGGCAAGGCTGCTTGGTTTAATTCAAGAAAGTTGAGCAGTCGCTGGAATGGAATGGAATGAATGAATGATTGTTTGAAATTTTGGAAAGGATTCCAGAGTGCTGTCTAGACGTATGTAGGAAAACTGCAGACATGTCCACCTGATGATCCAGGCTGTGCTGTGACCCTCTGCATGATCTGAGGTCATCCAGAACAAGTATAAATGGGCATAAACAGTAGTTTCCCCCTTTGAATGCTTTTGAGCCTGAAGTTGACACGTTGAAGAGCCACCCCGTAAGGATACAGCTTGTTGGATTCAAGGATTCCAGCATGGTGAGAGATAGATTACAATGTTGTCCTTCCATATTCCATAGCTACAGGCATGTAAAGCAACATCAGGGCTATCTGTGAGTTGTACTGAATCATCTGTCACATGCATGTTGTAGATCCAATATTAATACAAATACTGTATTGTGAGAAGAAGAGGTTCCCTCAGAGAACTTTGAACATGACATCTCCAGCTGTCATTTTAAATAAAAACTACTCCCAAATGGGGGTTAGTCTCCTAATGGGAAATTTCATCCCTCCGTCCTGGGGCTTCCAGTATGAAAAGTATTGAATCCCTAAGATAATTATGCTATGTAGAAAAACAATAACCACGCAGAGAGTTTCATATAGGTATACAAATTACCTTATACAAAAAACAGCTGAAATAAAGGTAGTCCTCAACTTACAACAGTATATTTAGTGTCTGTTTGAAGTTAAAACGGCACTGAAAAAAGTGACTTATGACCATTTTTTCACACTTACGACCATTACAGCATCCCCATGGTCACGTGATCAAAATTCAGATGGTTGGCAACTGGTTCATATTTATGACAATTGCAGGATCCTGGGATCACGTGATCACCTTTTTTGTAACCTGACAAGCAAAGTCAAAGGGGAAAGTCAGATTCAGTAACTTAACAATTGTGGCAAGAACGGTCATAAAATGGGGCAAAATTCATTTAACATCTCACTTAACAACAGAAGTTTTAAGCTAAATTGTGGTCATAAATCAAGGATTGTCTGTACTCAGTGGACCAGTCAGTCTCTTGATGCCCTGCAGAAAAATGGGCTCGGAGCTAGCAGATTATACAGGAAAGACCAAGCTCCTTGAAGGTGCAGCATATTTCCAAGACATGGAACCTTTTTAAATCAATCAATTTTTCCTCCTCCCTTAACAGAATAACAAGAGTTGGAAGAGACCTTGAAGGTCTTCTAGTCCAACCCCCTGCTCAAGCCCTATACCATTTCAGACAAATGGTGGTCCAATCTCTTCTTAAAAACTTCCAGTGTTGGACTGCCCACAATTTCTGGAGGCAAGTCATTCCCCTGATTAATTGTTCTAACTGTCAGGAAATTTCTCCTTAGTTTTAGGTTGTTTCTTTCCTTGATTAGTTTCCATCCATTCCTTCTTGTCCTGCCTTCAGGTGCTTTGAAAAATAAGTTGACCTCTTCCTCTTTGTGGCAGGTTTTGGGTATTGGAACACTGCTATCATGTTGAATGCCTAGAGCAATAGTTATCTCAAGCAATTTCTAGGCTAGAAATTGCTTGAGATAAATTCTAGGCTAGGAATTCTTGGACCATAGATAGTTCAAGGACGGATTCAAAAATCATCAAGTGTTCTGGCTTTGGGTCTGAATTCCATTGCTTTTGTTTCCATCTATGGCAGTAGTGCAGGGCAGGGAATCCAGTCGCTCAGTGCCAGAACACAGCTTGTGTAAACACCGGACCTGGTTTTCATTCCAGATAAGGCAATCTTCTCCATCATTACACCTTCTATGTGCATTGTTCTGGAGCTCCCTTCCTCCAACCAAGGGAAGTGCTAATTGTGAATGATGGGAGTCACTGGAAGATTTGGTAAGGCTAAGCCAATAGATATCCAGTGCCAGGCCTTGGAAATCCGTTGCTATTCAGAGGCAAAATGTGACTTGCTATAGAACAATTTAAATTCTTTGTGTAGATTAAAAGGGCTCAAGCAACAGTAAATAATTATTCCATTCCCATGTAACCGCTTTCATCAGCCATGGGTTCAAAAGCTCAAGGCTTTTTGTGCAGTCTCTTGTTTCTATATCAACTGCTGCTGGTGCTATTCAAATATAAATTTCACATTGTCATTTTATGGGTAGCTAAAAGGGGTGGGAGAGAAGAACCCACTTAGAATAAAATATAGATGGGGATTAAGACAACTGTCATGTTTACTTGGACACAGTGATTTATTTCTTTATTTTTGACTTGCACCATACCCGTTTTCCCCAGGCTGAGCCTCAACTCAAACAGAGCTTAAGCATTATTTTAAAAAGTCTTTGTGCATAGTTACAATTTAGTGGTTATCATTGCATAATTTGGCTGACTCAAACAGTTGTTGCCCCTGGGGAAATATTTAGTCCCATGTTCAAGTAATGCTCAATTTCAGACGCCCTGGTCAGACAGGAAAAGGTCATGTGGAGGCCATTATTATTTGGAATATCTTTGTTTTTTTCTCCTGCAGCAGAAAAAAAATCTGTAAAAGGGAAAGAAAGACAAAATTGCTAGAGCAGCCCTGTTATTGCAGGGTTGTTCTAGGACTTCATTTCTGTATCAGCAAGTAGATTTCAGATGTCACTCTTTTCTTATGGCTATGGTACTTCAACCATCACCTTTTCAATGATCCTTGAAGGTTCATTGCAGGAGATGAAAATTAATTTAGCTGACTGACTTAATGACTTTCTCAGGGTGTCATGGAGAGATAGTTTGATCTAGTGGTTAAGGTACTGGACTAGGAGTGGAGAATTGTCATTGTCTTAAGCACGGAAGTCATCAGTCACTGTCTCTCAGCCTAGGAAGAAGGCGCTGGGAAATCATTTCCAAAAATATTGCCCAGAAAAACTGCATTGATGTGTCCATATAGTCTTCAGTAGTAAATATTGATTTTTAAAAAGTTATGCCAAGAGATTCAGCTCAACTGGGGGCAGCCTATAATAGTTATTTTATAAGAGAACTCTTTGAGGATTATACCTAGTCATTCTGACCCAACAACTGATTGGATTTAGTTGTTCAGACATTTCATCTAATGTCTTGCAAACAAGATGAACTGAAATTACATTAGATTTCAGCCAACAACTTCATTCTATTATGTTTATGGCAACTCCCTTCTCATGTGTAGACCCACTAAGTCTTTTCCAGGTTAACTACGAAGGAGCAGCCATATGGCCTCCCTGCCCTCTTTAACCTTACCAAGAGAAAAATTAAGTCAAACATAGGAGAAGAAGTGAAAAGTTACTTTTGGATCATTTAGCCTTACTTAGGCATTTCCTTTCATTTGATGCCTCCTCTTTTCCTACCATGTTCCCAATGCTTTGCAGGTGTATGCCTGCAACAGGGATTTCATTGTATTTTCATATTCCTCCCTCCCTTCAATTAATGTATCTGGAGGGTAACATTTGGAGGAAGATTGATTAAACTCACAATACCGTACCTATGTAATGGGCTGCACCTGGCTAGGTGGATGACAAGGTGTTCAAACAGCTTCAAAACCGTGACTGGGATTTTTCTGGCACCCCCATGCCAGAAAAGATAAACCCTTTCATCTATCGATTACCTTGCTTGTTCTATTTTGTATTTTTAAAAAAATCTTCCTGGTCATCAGAAATATCTGCTGGGGCAGGCTAGCGTGTTATGAATATATGCTGACAATAAGAGCTGATAAAATGGAACTTTATTGAAATCTACTGTGTTTGAGGTTTGTCTTCTGCATATCCATTTTATCTCTCTATCTTTATGTATATCCAGGGTGTTCAAAAACTCATTTAATCTCCCCCCCCACCTCTCTCTTTTATCCTCCATTTTATTACTCTGTTTATCTGCCTCTCCTCTCTCCCATTCTCCTTACTCTGCTATTTCCATCCATCAACCCTCGGTTCTTTTCCATTAGTCCTTGCACAAGCTCCTTTCTTTTTCTTTTTTTCCCTTCAACACCCACCCTCATAAAACCTTCTCCAGATTCCCACCCCCTCCACTCTGCCTCCTTATGATCCATTCTCTCTCCCTGAACAAAAGAAGCTCTCCCCTTTTCCTTCCATACTGAAAAGACATTCCAGGGCACATTCTCCGAATTGGGGTGTACTCTGCCTTTATTCTAATTTAAGGATATCCTAATTTCTATTTATCTTTGTAACCCTCCCCCTCCCTTGTTTTAATAGTAATTGTGAAAAGAAGGATGCTTCGCTAATTGCTTATCCACTTCACACAGCACACTCCTCCAACAAGTTGGACTGAAGGATGATACAAACAAATAAACACAAAGCTTCACTGCTTTTTTCCTTTCCTCCGATCCATTTTGCAGTCTGCACTACAGTCCTTGGGGAAAGGACAGTTTACTGGGAGGGGGAAGGAAACCAATTTACACTCTTTTTTTTTTTTTTGCTAATGCATGCTCTTTCTCTTGTTCTTTCTTCAGCCACAAGTCACATTAGGGCTTGTATGCAGCTGTCTCCTTCTTGGCTATATTGCTACCCAGGTGAAGAAAGGAGGCCTGGCCTGTGTTGCCAGAGAAGATGGCCTCAACACCAGCCTGTCTGTTGATGCTGTGGCCACTGGTTCTGATTTTCTGTGATCCAGCAGAATCCATCAAGTTTCCCGAAGACTGTGAGTAGTAATGATATTCTGCTGCATGTGTTTTAAAATGGGAAGGGTGGAAGCTCTCCTTCAACATAAGCTGTCACAAGCGGGAGGGTCTGTGAGGAATTCTGACTGCCTTTTGTTAGTTCTGGATCAATTTTGGAGTCATGAAATGGCACAGAAACATTCTGGAGGTATGTGATTTGGAGTATGAGTGTTTCATTTTCAATGTTTTATTAGAGCCGCAGAGAAATGTGTTTAAGGCACCTTCCTCTGTTTTCTTGACTGAATTAATATTCTGCTGCTTTTGAAAGCTCAAGGTGACAGACACAGAAAAGTCTCACCAATTTTATTCCCAAACAACTCTGTGAGATAGGTTGGACTGAGAGATAGATAGATAGATAGATAGATAGATAGATAGATAGATAGATAGATATACTCAAAGCTACCCAAGGAGATCCATAGTTAAGAGGGAGACCACTCCCCAACCACTATAGTACACTGACTTTCCTATTATTTATGATATTAACTTTTCTAATAATGTTCCACATCTCAGTCTAAGCAGTATCATCAGAAATCTAGGGGATATCCTTGGGGTAACAACTCATACTGCCACCCTAACAGGACAGCCACCCCCCAAATAAGAGAGGTATAGAGGTAGCTCTCAAGTTACAACATTCATTTACCAATCATTTTGAAATTAGAGCGACACTGAAATATTGACTTACGACTGGTCCACACATTTGAGACCATTGCAGCATCCTTATGTTCACATAATCAAAATTTGGGCATTTGGCAACTGGCATGTATTAACCATGGTTGCAGCATCCCAGGGTCACATGATTGCCATTTGCGACCTCCTCAGCTTCTTCTAGCCAGCAAAGTCTATGGGGGAATCCAGATTCACTTAACAACTGCATGATTCACTTAACAACTGCAATAATTTGCTTAAAAACCATGGCCAAAAGGTTGTAATATTGGGTGTGTCTTGCTTAACAAATTCCTTGTTAACAACAAAAATTCTGGACCTAACTGTAGTCATAAATTGAAGATTTACGACTGTATTGATGTTGATCGATACAAATGGGTGGTTCTGCATGGTTTATGACAAGAGAAGAAAGATAAATGGGGAAACAGGAATCACTAAGTCCAACACTGAAGAGAATCTTTTGCACCCACCTGCTGCATCTCAGCTTTATGACATTAGTTCTACACATCATGCCATCATTTGCTGAACTTCTTACTAGCCGTGAACATTTTTTCTACATTCTTTGATATCTGCTGTGTGCAAACAATTTCATATTTCTGACATTTCACAACACCTAGATAGATTGGTCACAATACCATTGAAAAGGAGACAGACAGTTCTAATAGACAATGAAAGTGTTAATAATGGAAATTACTCTTTTAACCTCTAGATATATAAACTCGTCACATTATTTATTTTGGCTAACCATTGTTGTGCAAGAACAGAATATGTATTGACTAGACATAGTTTACACCAATACCGTTTACTATACTCTGTAATTTCCTGCCCTTGAAAACTATCTTTGCTTATACCTTATTCATTCACCGATTCATGCAGTCTTTTGTTTTTTTTATTCTTATCCCTCTCTTTTTGATAATCTTATCAACTCCTATATCTTTCTCTCTATATACATCTATAACTTTCTATCACAGCATATCTGCTCTTCTTATATTTGTTTTGCAATCCACACTTCATTCTGTCTATGACTAAAACCTCTAAGTGTGCTTGTCAGTTGCTGGAGACTTTGTTTTATATTTCAGTCCATGTTCATTCAGGACCACTTTTTCTTTACCGTATATAATCAGGCAATCCATGTTATATGGTATAATTTGTATATAATATGAATCACATTCCAGATTGAAATTCAGATACCTGTTTACCAGATCAAATTGCAATAGGAGTTGCAGCACAACACTCCAGTACTGTAGTTTATGCTTATTATAATTTGCCAAATATAGGAGGAGTCACAAATCTTACCTTCTTGTCTTTTGCATACTGATTTCAGTGATAGTTTTGAATCTTCTTGTTTGTTCTACCACAACAAGCTTTTTTAAAAACACACACCAGTTTTCAGTACCAAGGACAGCATACAGAAACCAGGAAGCAGGTATTGTCTTTTAACACTAGGGAGAGCATTCAAGGTTAGCCTCTGCTGCTCCCATGAACATCATCCCTTCCCGAGGTTTTATCTTGTGGTGGTACAGCTAATAAGCATGAATTCTTCTGTCCTGTCCAATTAGTGAAAGTGTACATTAGAGCAGAGGAGAACAATGGGGAAAAAAGAACTGCGATGTGTTTTAATTCTTTTTTTTTAATGTCTAAATCCATGGAACAAAACTGATCCTTCCTGTTTTGGCAACTTCTCTGTTAGGCATAATTCATACTCTTAGATGTATGTATGTAGATGTGATAGCAGGAGATAGATTTGCATAAAAGTTGGATTTGTATTTAATGCAAAAGAGACATGGGTAAAAGGAGGATTTTTATCTGTATTCAGTGTCAGTTGGAATCTGACCATCTGGAGGCTGTGAAAGTCTGAAAAGAAACGTATGCGTGTCTAAATAAAAATTATGCTAAGAAGCTGGTGCATTATTTTGTAGTAAGTCAGCTTCATGAGAATGATAATGGTTGTATTGAAGAAATCTTTAAAAAATCAAGTGGGCCAAAGGGTCTGAGAGGAGCCAAATGGCAGATCCACAAGCATTGTGTTGCATACTCTTGATTTAAACCAATCTCCTACAATGGTTTCATGGAATAAATAGGATGTTTTTGAACAGGATATGAAGGACCAAGGTGAAGCAGTCTGATGGATCTTTTGTGTCAGGGAACTCTGTGCTGAGGATATGAATTCTGAAAAGCATTTTCCTTGACGGTGTTACTGTGATTGACGGTGATTTTTTTAAAGCTTAGTTACTTGGCATAAGGTTTTAGAAGTGGACTTCAGCATATGAGAAAATTTATATGTAGATGTTAGGCTTTATGCATTGTGGTGACAAAATTTTGGTGACATCCATCACTGTTATGTAAATGTTTTGTGACAAGCCCTAATGGCTGCATTTTTGGAGATACTAATTGTTACTGACATTGTCCAAGAATCAAGTTGGGAGGGGACACTGTCTAATCCAGAATTATTAATGTAAACCACAATAATATGATGGCTAAATTATGATTTTTATAAAAAATAAACAGACGCTAAAATAAGAAATAAATATTCTGCTCCATTCTGGATATTTAATTGCTATTGTATCTCAGTAAATAATAAACTGCAAGACTGGGAGACTGAGACATATTTTAATTCACCCATGATAACTATAGCCCTCTTCCCTCAAAAAATATTGCAGCACACCTTTCTCCTCCTGCTTTTCCCAGAACAGCAGCCCTGTGAGCTGGTTTGGGCTGAGAGAAAATGACTGGCTCTAAGTCACCCAGCTGGCTTTCATGGCTAAGGTGGACGTGAACTCACAGTCTCGTGCTTTCTAGCCTGGTGCCTTAATCACTAGACCAAACTGGTTCTCTTTTTGCATGAAATCACCAAACAAAGGCTGGATACTGATATATACCTGGAACTCGTATTTTTAGAATAGTTTGTAATATGTATATATATATATACGTATATACGTATGTACGTATGTATGTATGTATGTATGTATGTATGTATGTATGTATCAGTGGTGGGTTGCCCCTGGTTTGGACCGGTTCGCAAGAACCAGTAGTAAAACTGGTGGGAGGCTCCGCCCACTGCCCTGGATGTCGTCATATGCAATCTGCGCATTCGCAGAAGCTTGGTGCGCGGGCGAGTGAAGCAAGTGCGTGTGTGCGATCCCGTTGTGAACCGGTAGTAAAGGTAAGTAGAACCCACCCCTGGTATGTATATGTGTGTGTGTGTGTGTGTGTGTTATATATATATATATATATATATATATATATATATATATATATATATATAAAGAAGACCCATAAAATACATATATATATATAAAATTATAAAATTATATACACACACACATACACATACATACACACATACACAGAGACCCATAAAATACATACATATATACATATACATACATATATACATATACATACATATATATAATTTTTTATTTCAGATTTCTATACCGCCCTTCTCCTTTCGGACTCAGGGTGGTGAACAGCCAAGATAAAAACATTTATACACAAAAGTTAAAAATAGATTTAAAATAATTAAATAAATTTGCCCCGTAATTTAAAACTTTTCAATTAAAATCCATATCAAATTTTAAAACCAACCATAAAATCAGGACAGCCCGGCTAACTGAAAAAAATAGGTTTTTAGGGCCCAACGAAAAGTCCGGAGGTCGGAGATCATTCGTATCTCTGGGGGTAGATTGTTCCAGAGGGTAGGTGCCACCACAGAGAAAGGCTCTCCCCCTGGGGGTCGCCAGCCGACATTGTCTGGCCGACAGCACCCTGAGGAGGCCCTCTCTGTGGGAGCAAACTGGCCGGTGGGAGGCAATTGGTGGCAGAAGGTGGTCCCATAAGTACCCTGGCCCTAAGCCATGGAGCTTTTATATATATATAAAATTATATATATACAAAATTATATATATAAAAATTATATGCAAGTTTTGGTGTATTCGGGTCTTTTCCCATGTAAGATTTAGAGTATCTCAATCTTACACAGGAAAAGACCCGAATACACCATTGTATAGTATTTATGTAGTATATTATATATATATATCAACCGGGTGTTTGTATGTAGGTCTTTGGTTATTCGGGTCTTCTCCCACGTAAAATTGGAAGTGTCTTGGCGACGTTTCGACGAAGTCTCATTCGTCATCTTCAGGCTGGTGTTCTCGGCTTCGTGCTTCCAGGAGCTTCCAGGAGCTGCGATCTCACATTGCTCCTGGAAGCACGAAGCCGAGAACACCAGCCTGAAGATGACGAATGAGACTTCGTCGAAACGTCGCCAAGACACTTCCAATTTTACGTGGGAGAAGACCCGAATAACCAAAGACCTACATACACACACACACACACACACACAACACACACACACACACAGAGAGAGAGAGAGAGAGAGAGAGAGAGAGAGAGAGAGACCCATGCAGTATATAGCCCCTATTTTATGACTTCGGTTGGTTAGTCGACATTGTACACATTTTTAAGGTTTACAAGCTAGTAGCTAGATTCACACAATGTACATTCACACAATGTAACAAATTGCATTATAGTTTGGTTATGATGAAGGAACTCAGGCATTGATTTGTGCTGGTACATATATATAGGTATCTTCCATAAACCCTAGCCATTGCAGCCATCCAGGAGGTACCAATTTTGGAGAAAGCTGTACTAATACTTCAGATCCTAAAATGTTCAGGTGCTAGATTCAGAAGAAAACAAAGCATTGCAAAATATGATGCTATTGGACGAAAGAGAAATTTGCCAAATTGAGATTAATTTCCATAATATTTAAATACAATTTCAGAATTATGTATAATCTTGTGGTTATATCAGTTGTTTTAAACTGATGACCAGTTGAGAAGGGAAAGAGACAATAGTTTTTCGCTTTAGCCCATAAAATGAATTGTTTGTGGGTCTCTTAAGTATCGTTATCAGTTACAGACACACACAATTCAGAATAGGCAGACTCTAATTCAGTTCATATGCAACATAATGCTATTTATTAGAAGTATAGTGTAGTATGTAGTGAGACGTATGACTCACTATAAATTATAGTGTAATAACTTTATTTTTTTTACATTTCATAAATTGTATGCAAATTAGTTTTTCCCCCCAAAGTGAACAGATTTCTAATTTTAGCTATTGATTCTTACTAATATTTATTGATTTGATTTCCAAAAAGACTGATGAAGCATATTGTATCTATTAATATCCTGTAATTTTGAGGTCCATTCTTCAGACTGTTTAGAAATCAAATCAAAATCACTTCTACTTCTAAATAAAGATTGATTCTCTAATAAATTCAAGAACTTTCTTCCATTTCCCATTTTTATTTTTTTGAAGAGCTATGAGTCTTGGTTTGGGCTTCAATAGGCCTCTGGAATCATGTTATGATTTGCAAATCTTTAATTTGCAGCAGTGATAATGGTGGATATGAACTCTTTCTCCGATAAGCTCATAAAAATTCACCTTTCTATTTTGGTTCTTTATTATTATCCCACTCCACCCCGCCCTTATTCTGTGTTGGTGTGTCTTGCTCGTCTCCTCTCCCCTTCTGTCTGGATGAGTAGGCAAGGAGATCCCTGGAGACCCTTTCCCTCCGCTAATTGGATTGGAGCTTTTTTCCAACCTGTCGCTGACTCAACCAAACACAACACTTCCTATAAGAATCAATTCAGCTTGTTAAATTAAGGGGGTAGAGGAGGCTAGCTGAATGTTTGGCCTTCTCCATGACACATTTGTTCTGTAAGGAAGTGAAAAGACATTGGCATAGGAAATGTCTTTCTGCACATAGCCTACCCACAATAAGACCCTCAGGTTATAAACCATTCCCTGCGAGGGCATTGTGATCTGCAAACATTCATAAACAATAGTGTTTATTTTCCTGCTGTGAAAACTTCACCTGCTGTTTTCAAGCATTGTCACTGATGCTAAGGATACCATTTCAGCACTCTTCCCCCCCCCCCCCAGTCCACTGGCGGTCCTGCACAGTACACAACCAGCTAGCTACCTGCAACTCCAATGGCCCTGTTCATTGTCCCTAGAAATGTCAGGCAACTTTTCTGAATGAAAATGCAGCACTTAATGTAAAGTGCACTGTCTCATTGTGCTGATTGACCAGTGAAATAAAGAAGAGGATAGATTGTGGTTTTATAACAAAGCACACATGCTTTGCATACAAAATATCCTGTATTCAGATCTTGGCATCACCTAGATATGTCCTAATATCCGGAAGAGTTACTGATAGCCAATGTAGATAATACTGAGTTGAATTAATCCACTGACTTAATTAAAAGTATTTTTAGGATAATTGTCCCATTATTTATTTTGGTAATCTGGTGTATGTGTGTCTTTGTGTAAGAGTAATAAGTGTGAATAATGTTTCAAATATAACATATTTTGAACCTGAAGTAGGCTAACTGAACACTGCCTAGACATTGGTCCAACCTCACCAGGAGCTGTATCAGTTTGAACTGGGCATTCTAAATATAAAATGTGTTTGCTCTAAACTTACGATACTTGCGGTAGTACTTCCTATGGGGATGGAACAGCCTGTTTTGAACATCTCTTAGGTATAAATATAGATTTGTGGAGCTACATATGGTTATAAAGGAGAGTCACCTGCATGTCTTCTCTAAATGTCCATGCATGCATCCATTCCACCTAACAACATGCCCATATATTATTATATCTGTACTATTATTGTATTTTCAATTTGCATTTTTTTGTTCTGTGCTATGGTATAACACTGCAAAGCTTCAAAATTGTATCATATGTTATAAAACATACACTGTCACCCACAGGTAGTCCTCGACTTACAACAGTTCATTTAGTGACAGTTCAAAGTGACTTATGACCATTTACAACCTTTGCAGCCTCCCCAGGGTCATGTGATCAAAATTCAGACACTTGGCAACTGATTCATATTAATGACGGGTGCAGTGTCCCGGGGTCATGTGATCACCTTTCGTGATCTTCTGACAAGCAAAGTCAATGGAGAAGCCAGATTCACTTAACAACCGGGTTACTAACTTAAAAGCTGCAGTGACAACTGTGGCAAGAAATGTTGTAAAATGGGGTAAAACTCAATTAACAAATTTCTCACTTAACAACAGAAATTTTTGGCTCAGTTTTGGTCATAAATCGAGAACTACCTATATTTGCCTACACTCTCTACATTAAGGTGAACTCTAGAAAGCAACTGACAATTCAGAGAGAGCAAAGGAAGCTCTGAATTGAACTGGCTACTAAAGAAAAATGTGTCTCCTCTCATTTCACAATATGTTGGGGAAAAAAATCCCTATTCCAATTGTTTGAGTCTTCAGGTAATTTTTGATGGGAACACAAGTTTGTTTAGCTCAATAACTTTTCCCTTAGAAGTACTGAATGCCACATCAAGAAGTACAGCTTTTTCAAGCAATGAGAAATCTGAGGTAATCTCCACAGGTCACCATTTGCCAACTTGATCTCCCTTTCCAGATGTGCCAAGCTTCATTACTAACTATCTGACTCATCATAATCAAATGAGAGTTATTGAAGTTCAAATGTCTGGAAAGTATCAGGTTGGGAAATCTCTTGTGAGGGATAGTTACTTGCTACTATGATGTTTTCCTTTTTTTAAAAAAAAAATTGACAAATCTGTATTAAGAGAAGAGAGGAGATGGGAGAAGCACATAGGCAGTAAAAGTCTAGTTTCTCCCCATCTCAAATTTGCTGCTTTCAAGATCTCTTACTAATGAAAAAAGGAAAAGGAAACAAACAAAATTAACCTTCCTGTCAACCAAAACAAAAACACACATCAGTTTCACCCTGGGGGTTGGGCATGGCACAACCAACCATTTCTTGCTTGCCATCAGCATCTAGATTACACAAAGGGTAGGGAAAGTGATTTTTCCACTTTCAATGAACATTCCAGACTCTGTACTTTATCAGATTGATTTCCTGCAACTGTCCTGCTTTCAAATGCAGATTTTTTAACTCACTGTGCTCTTCTGTAGAAGTACTGTTTTCACACTGCCTTGTTTTGAATTCTCTAATGGTGCAGAGGAACACAACTGTCTCATTCACTGAATATGGCATGCTGACATCCAGCTGGCTTTCCCGCTCACTTGTACCTGACCATCTCGCATATGGGTTGTGTCTTGCACCCTTGTGCTTCCTACTTAAAGTATGGTCATTTGGCTGATCATGTTGTCGTTATGCATTTTTCTTCCTTTCGGTCTTGCTCTCACAAACTGCATGCTTATAGTTTTCTTGAGGCACAGGAATGGTGGAATGATCACTAATAAGCACTTCTCTTTTTTCTTTTGTTGTTTTCTTGCTGACGCAGTTGACCGGACAAACTGTGAGTCTTCCATAAAAATGGGTGATGGTGATGATAATGGTGATGGTGATTGGGCTGGGATGAGAGAGAAGAAGCCAAACAGTGATTGCTTTGCTGATATAAATAGCACATTACTATACTTTTATACTCTGTCTGCAGCGTGAAGCTATCACATTATTCTTGGGTAGAGTGAGATCTTCAAAGCATGGGACCAGTGGTCCCTTATGTGTTGGATTTTTGGATTGCTCATTTTCTGTCCTACTTTTCTGTTTCTTAGTACAACAACCTCCTGAATTCACAATACAACCAGACAACGAGATTGTTTTATATCCCACTGATGAGATTATCCTGAAATGGGAGGCTACTGGAAATCCCTCGGTGACGTGAGTGTGGACAAGCTTCAATATTGTTCCCCTTAGCCCAGTTCCATTCCAAATGGAAAACATTTAGTGGGAATGTCCTCCTTAGGATCCTAAGATAGTTCTGTCCATATCTTGGAGAGCTAAAGACCAAATCATATCTTTCCTTGCTTTTAATTGTTGAAAAGTAGACAAATTTCTGTGTTCTGGAAGGGCAAGGAAGAATTGGTGTGAGGATTTAACTATTTTTTCTTAAGTAATTTCTCTGGCTCTCTGATTTCTCTGGTTAAAATTGCTCTTTTTCCCAAGGCAGGTATTTGAGTATAATATCAGCAGCTTTATTTTGGATGGAGGCGGGGGTTGGGGCCACAGTTTGAATAAAAACAGTTAACTACCATTCCCTAGTGCTATGGCCATAATTTAATTTAACATCGCCTTCCCTTCTCTCCCCCCTTCAGCCACAAAGAAAAAAGCATCAGAAGATCTAATCATTTATCTCTCAAGTCAATATAGTTTGGCCTGGAGATACTTTTTTATTATTATTATTAACAGAGGCCCTCTGCATGCTGATACTGGGAAATGTTATTGTTAGAGAGACACCCCCAACTTGGTGTTTGATGATGCTAGGAAAGATGGAAGAAAAGAGAAGAGGATGACTAGCAGCAAGATGGATGAACTCAGCTACAGTGGCAATGACTGCACTGTTGGATGACCTGAAGAACCAAGTTAGGGACAAATTGTTTTTTGGGGAAAAATCTATGTCATCACTAAGAGTCAGCACTGACTTGATGGCATATAATCAATCTATCAATCAATTGAGGTAGTTTGGCTGAGAGAGACTGATTGACCTAAAATTCTCCAGTGACTTCCTGTGACTGAGACGGACTAGGTAATAGCAGATTCTTTATAATTTTCTCCATGTGTAAGAGTGTGTGGATATGTAGTGTCAACCTCACACATCCAGCTCCATTATTGGGCTAAGAATACTGATTTCCTTGGAAAGATGTTACAGAGATAACATATATAGAAAGAATATTAAGAACAAAAAAAAAAACTACCTGGTAAACTTTTTCTACCTTCAACTCAATATTGAGTCCTCACAACTGCCTATAATAGGCCCCGCAGTTTTCTTGTCAAGGTTTTCTTCAGGAGTGGTTTGCCTTTGCTGCCCTTTCAAGGGCTGAGAGAAAGTGACTGCCTGAGGTCACTCAGCTGACCTAAGGCATGACTAGAACTCATGGTCTCATGGTTTTTAGCTTGCTGCCTTAACCACTAGACCAAACTGCATTTTGTAATATACTACACAGTAATAATAATACAAGACATGATAATTCTGCTAGGAGCAAATCTGTTTGAATTCCATTTTTTCCAGCTATAACCTTCCTCTGTTTCAAGCCCAAGTCCCAATTTTGATTCAGAACAAAGGAATCTAAAAAATAGTATTTATCTCCTATATATACAGCCCTGAGACTGCTGATTTTAGGAATGGATGTCCAGTATTGATATTGGACTTTTCACAGTGCACAATGCTCCTAAATTCTGCTTTGTTCTTAATATCTCCATTATTCCCTCCTATGCTGGAAATGTCCCTGACCTTACTTGGACCTCTGCTCCTCTTCTAATTGATTTCTCTCTCCTTACCCCAGTTCTTGTGTGTATCAGAGGAATGATTGTTTGCCTGCTTTTAAATCCTCCAACGATACAGTTCCACCGCCACCTCTCCAGTCACAACTACCTTAATCAGTGCAGACTGAAAACCAAGGTTATTTATAGATGTAGACCAACCTGCCAGTCAAAGGTTATTAAAAAATAGCATAGGAGCTCAGTAGGAAGATTGCATGCATCCCCTTTTCCTTCTCCTTCCCTTTTCTCTTTGTCATGGGTTTTCCTTTTGGCAGGTACCGCTGGACCAAGGATGGGGAACAGTTTGACCCAGAACAGGTGCGAGGGATAAAACAGTTGGAAAATTCAGGGACTCTGATCATCCATGCAAACAATGGGAATGTGCCAACTAGGTTCAATGGGATGTATCGGTGTTATGCCAGCAACATATTGGGCACAGCCGTGAGTTCTGAGAGCCGCATCATTGTTGAGAGTGAGTACCTCTCTGCCTCCCCCAAGGTGTCCTTCCTACTTCCCCCTCCCTCTTTTATAAGTGTGCCCACCAATTCTCTGCCTTCTTCCAGCTCTGCATCACTTGCACACACCTATATACACACACATTCACACACAAATGTTTCTCATTCTGGCTTTGCGGACGAAGCTTATTTTAGGACCCACAATGATGCATCTTAAGACGTCCATACACAAATATACCCCCCCCTTCCAATTTTTTGAGAAATAAATTTCTCCCTCCCTCTTGCCATAAATGTCTATGCCTGGGTCTTTTACCTGCCTGGACTCCCCGGAGTGCAGCCGATTGCTCTTGTTCCCATGGATACAGTTGTCATGGTAGCATCGTGTCATGTGATGTAATTGCCAGCCCCTCCTTCTCCTGCCTCCTTTCTCTTCTGCTCAGCCTTGCTTTCTGCAGTCTGTCAAGGAAGAAGGAAAGATTTAAAAGCTGGAGGGATACAGGAAAGGAGACACCTATTGATATCAAAAAGGATGTATTTTTCAGCACTAGTAGTGATGATTTAAGAACATCCTCTCTTTGTTCCAAAATTGCACTGATCCTTTATTCTTCAGCTTGGCTGAAGTTCTCAAAATAAATCTGCCTGCTATTAATAATAAAAAAGCTATTGTTGTTGCTGTTGAGGGTGTCGTATTAATAAAGATTTCAGAAATCAAGCATGAGTCAAAAAGTCCTTGGTTCAAGTCACAAAAGTGTATAAATGACTACTAGTTCTCTGAGACAGCAGATGGATTGGTAAACTGCCTCAGCTTTAATTGGCTGAGTATGGCAAGGCATCTCCACTCACTGAGTAATGATCAAAAACCTGTTAAAATACATTTTTCCCCGAGGCACAGTGAATAACTGGATATATTAAAAACCTAGCCCAGAGGACTATGCAGCCAATTCCTCTCCATTTACAGTAGTCTTTTCCCCCCTCCATGATAATCCCCCTCCCTTCCATTCACTAATTGCTTCGATTCCTGCTTCATTGCCTTCCAGATGCCCCACAGTGGCCAAAGGAGGAGGTGGCACCCATCACAGCAGAAGAAGGGACCCACACAGTCTTACCCTGTAACCCACCCACTAGTGCCGATCCACCTAAAATCTACTGGCTCAACAGCAGTGAGTATTAGAAACTGTCTTTTTTTTTTTTTAAATTTGATTTATATGCCGCCCTTCTCTGGAGACTCAGAGCAGCTTACAGTGTGTTAAGCAATAGCCTTCATACTTTTGTATATTTATACAAGGTCAGCTTATTGCCCCCACAAACTGGGTCCTCAATTTACCTACCTTAGAAAGGATGGAAGGCTGAGTCAACTTTGAGCCTGGCAAGATTCAATCTTACTTTAATTGCAGACAGCTGATGTTAAATTACAGTGCTCTGTCTGTTGAACTATCCAGGCTCCTTTTCCAAAGTCTGTGAATTTGGTTGTGACAGATCACAACATATGAACTGATTACTTTTCTCAAAGAACTAGAAGAGCTGGCATTGGATGAACGTCAAGAGGTTCCCAACAAAAGAGAAGGAATATGGAAGCATTTGATGGATAGGGATGGTAAATGGGTAGATGACGGTAGGTGAAGGGTACGTGAAGATGGAAGAATGGCAATATTGGCACACGTGTTTTGCAAATACATAGTCCCTCCCAGGTAATTCTTTGATCATGTCATTCAAGAAAGATGTTGAGCTCTTACAGATAATCTGATTAAAGATTAAATCTGATTAAAGATAATCTGATTAAAGATACAGAATCAGATAAATGCACTATGTATGATGTTTTGCTTTGAACTGGCTGCTGGATCATTTCAGATTACATGCCAACCTGGGTAATAGTCCCAGAACATATGGGAAAGCAAGAGAGAGGAAAGGCTTTCCATAAACTTTTAGGAGAATGTTCTTGTTGGAAAGAGAAGATTTAACTGGAAAGAATTTGGGTCCAATCCTCCACTCTCAGGGATTAATTTAACACTCTGGTTAGTCCGAAGTGTTTGGAACCTGTTTTGGAAGTCAAAATCCCCTTTTGAAAGACATAAAAGAATGCAGTTCCTCTATTGTGACCACCTGCTCCAAAATCTCTACATGAAGATGATGATTATGACTTACGTAGAAGGAATAGAATAACTTTGCTTTCTTTCCTCTCATGGATGCTTGGGCCAAGAAGCAAAGTGGGTTGGTGTTGTGGTCCGCCAGCGGCCTGCGCGGATCGTGACTGATCCCGATGACGAAGGGGCTGGTGTGGTGTCATGCCAGCAGCCAGCACAGCTGGCGCTCGCGTCGAACAGTGAGGAGGCTGAAGAAGATGTAGTGCCAGAGGCAGAGACTCAGCCAGGGCCTTCAGAACCTCCAGAGGCTCCTTCAAGTGGAGAGAGCGAAGTGGAGGAGCCTCTCCTCAATGCTTGAGCACGCAGGGCTGCCAAAAGGCAGGAGTGGCTACTCAGGAGGAGGAGATCTCCTTGAGAGTAAGGCTTGAGGATAATTGGCCACTCCCTTAGCCTATTTAAGTCACACACCGTTAGTAAGTTTCTTGCTAGAAACAACTCGTATTATTATCAGAGTATTTTGGTTTATCATATCTTGTCATATCTTGGGCTGGTTGCCAACCTTTGCCGGTCTTGTTTATTCTTGCTACTTAATAAATTTGAAAAGGACCGTTGGTATGTGTCAATATCCTTGGAAATCCGGAGCTGGGGCAGAACAGTTGGCATTTGGCTGTCTTATGATAATTCTTTCCGCTTTGCTGTGTCTCATTTGCCTCTCCTTCCCATCTCTCTTTCTGCAGAGATTGAGCACATTGCACAAGATGAACGAGTCACTGTAGGGCAGGATGGAAACCTCTACTTTGCCAATGTACAGATGAAGGATAGTCAACCTGACTATATTTGCAATGCCCATTTCCAAGGTCCCCGACTCATTATCCAGAAAGAACCCATTGAACTAAAAGTCATCCCAAGTAAGTCTTAAGGACACCTTATGTTGAGGTGCTCCGTGTGATAGAGTGAGGAAGTAGCTGGCTATTGTAGGAAGATATCAATTACATTTTTAAAATCCTGATCTTCTGCCCACCCAGTTTAATTTATGGTCTTAACATTTGAATAGTGAAGTTCTTGTGGAAACCTGCAAAATTATGAGATGAATTATTGCCTGAAATCTTTATTAGACTCTATCCATGGATTTTGCTGCAGTCATTTGCTTCAAATTTAGTATTTCAGTTTTTCCCAACCTGTTACCCTCCAGATGTGTTGGATTTCCATTGGACTTAAAGTCTAAGCTTCTAATGGACAACACATTGAGGAATGCTGCAGCACTTGGTTTCCAATACTGTCCGTTGATGTTTTTCACTTGGCATCTTATGACCAGCATTGCACAGTGTTGCTACGCATTGAACCATAAAACTGGAAGCTTTCATCTAGGCTATTGGTTCACTGACCAATGCTGGCACCCAAATGAAAATATCCCCATTTAATAGTTGTCCAGCTTCTGACTGAACATGTCCACAAAGGAAAATTCTTCTGACAATTAATTTTATTATCAAATAGCTTTTACCATTAGGAATGTTTATATAACATTGAACCCAAATCTGACTTTTTGCAATTGAAAGACTGTTATTCTGTCTTTCAATTCTATTCTGTGTTCTGTGTCCTGCATTATCTTCCTCAAGGACACATTAGTCAAAATGCATCTGATCAATGTAGAATAAGGTAGAATGTTTCTTTTTTTTTCTTTTTTAACTTGGGAAACTGCCTTTAATATTTGGCAGCAAAAATCTATTGCTCCCTTAGGAAGCTTAGAGATAAGGGAATCAAAGAAGTGGAGACAGGGTTTGTGAAATAACCAGTGATGAAATTATGAAAATTGAGAGGTATATTCATGCAAAGTTTAAAACTCTGAGAAGAGCTTTGTAGCAGTGAATAATGGAAGAATATGATGTATTATTTATTATCATTACATAATGCTCAGCAACTAAATGATTTACCAGAGATAGCAAGAAACTACATGAAAGATGAAGACTTAGAGAAGTGATGTGTAGAACCCTTTTGTATGTTCCTAGCAATGACCGAGACAAGAAGCTGATGAATAAAACTGGGGACACTAAATTCAAGTCTTCGTGATCACTGAGGGAACTTTCATCTGGTCTCTTATCTCTCTGTCTAGTATACTTCATCAAGCTGTTGTTAAAGTTAAAGAGGAAGAAATATCCAAGGGAATTGCTAAAGCTGCTCAGAGTTGCTTTTCAGAGTGAGATAGGCAGCATATAAATGTAATGAATGAATGAATGAAGGAAGGAAGGAAGGAAGGAAGGAAGGAAGGAAGGAAGGAAGGAAGAAGGAAGGAAGGAAGGCAGGCTAGGTCATAACCTCATTTAGAAAGCTTGGAAAGTTGAAGAAGGCTTTATGGAGGAGTGTGTGTCAAACTGCCTGTTAGTGGAGCCAATGACACACTCTTTACCCTCAGAATATGAATATAAACTCAGTCAAAAGTCAAATGTTCTGCAATTGTGTTGGCCTAGACCATCTGTACAGGTTTCTGCTGCTTTATGGTCTTATGATATTGAGTAATTCTTTTCTTCTCTCTCTTCCATAGCCAACACTTTCTCATACCAGAAACCAATTCTAATTGTGCCAGAGACCACACGCAAGAGCTACGTGGCCTTGTTAGGAAAGCCTTTGATACTAGAATGCATTGCTGCAGGACTGTAAGTATTTGGAGATATTTGCCAGCAAAAATAATATATATATGGCAATGCGATCCTATATCTTTCAAATCCCATGAGTTCAGAGAGACTTCCTTGCACAGGGAGCTTAAGTGTACAAATGGACAAAAATGAACATTAGCCAAAGGACTGCTAGTACAGATTTGAAAAATACTTTGCTAAACCCATAAACTGATGAAATATAGGTAATCCTCAACTTGCAACCACAACTGAGCCCAAAATTTCTGTTGCTAAGCAAGACAGTTGTTAACTAAATTTTTCCCCATTTTATGACCTTTCTTGCCACAGTTGTTAAATCACTGCAGTTGTTAAGTTAGTAACATGGTTGTTAAGTGAATCTGGCTTCCCCATTGACTGAATGGGGAATGGGAATGAGAATGGGAGAGCTGGGTATACATACTTCTTGAGTATGATAACAAAAATGGCCAATGAGATAAGAGTACATCTTGATTTCAGTAGCTGTTTCTAATGCTGTCCCCATTCTGTTGTGGATAGGTTGGAAGATTGGAGAAGCTTATATCTGTATGTGTATTGGAAAGGGAATGGATATGTTTTAAGGCAGGGGTGTCAAGCTGGCGGCCCATGGGCCAGATGTGTCAGATGTAGGCCACACCCACCCCAGCTCTGCGAAGGGGAAAAATGTCATGATATGGCATGTGACGGCAATGTGACGCCGCGAGTTTGACACGTGTGTTTTAAGGGGTTGTGACTTCTGATTTCCAATTGCTGGGGAAAATACAGCTTGGGATTTAATTTTTGCTCCTTACTGGTTTGGAGAGGCAGTGGAAATCTCTAATCCAAAGTTATTTTTTCCCCTTTTTGACTGCATAGAAATTACTCCATCCTTTGAGTGGCCTTGGAAGTATTTATTTAAAACATTTCTATAGCCGCCCGTCTTATAACCAACTCTGGGTGGCTTCCAATCAAGTCGGATAGAAGCAGAGATTTAAAAACCAAAATACATCAGCAGTAATTAGAACAACATTTTGTTCATCTGCTACTCCAGGGACACTCAGCTCCTCCTGCCATTCAGCTGCTGGTTTGATGATGAGAAGGAAAACATCAGCAGAGAAGTGGAATGATGCCCTTTGATTACATGCTTAGTAGTGGTTTAATTAACTATGCTGTTAGGTAGCAACAAACAAACAATAATGAGGGGACCGAGGAGGCAAAACAGCCTGGTGTCTTGCTGAGGCAGTTGGCAAGCCAATCCCTGCTCTGCTATGAAGCTCACGTTTCTCTAGGCCAAACTACTTCACAGGTTTCTTATGAACATAAAATGAATATGGTAGGAGCTGAGTATCTGGTGAGCTGATCATCTGAGAATTCTCCATCGTTAACACCAAGTGCATTTAAACCAATGAGATAATTTAATCATGGCACAAGTCAGCTTTCATTAATCTAGCACTTTCCAGATGTATTGGACCACAACTTTTGTTATCCCCAGACAATGAACCTTTAGGGATCTAGATGATGGATTTTGGAATCCAAGAAATCCAAAAAGTGCTAAATTGGGGGGGAAAGGATTTAACAGATTTGACTGATAACACTAATACTACTCTCTTGATCCAGATGCATCTGCTGAGTTCTAAAGAAAAATTAATTTCAAAGGTAATAAAGGCAACTCCCTTACAAATAAATACATACATTCTTTAAAAAAAGGGGGAAAAATATCCACAAACCTCACAAAGTGCAAGTATCCCTCTCTGCTTTATGTACAGGAGAAAGATTCCTCTTCTAAGATGATGAATTCTCCCATCTGCAATTTTTATATGATCTTGTTTAAAACATAATTTCAAATAGAGTTCTTTTTAACTGAACAACATAATTTTAAGCAGTGACCTAGATCAGTAACGTTCAACTGAGTTAGAATCCAGTTTTATACACATTCTTTTTCTTCTTCCCTTTCTCTGCAGCCCTACACCATCGGTGGAATGGATCCACCTGAACAGAATGAACCCTTCACCTGGGGTGACCTTTGAGAATTACAATAAAACCCTTTGCATCTCAAGTGTGACAGAGGATGATGATGGAGACTATCAGTGTATCGCTCGTAATGAGCATGGCAGCATCCACCACACCTATACCGTTAATGTTGAGGGTATGTCCATCCACAATTTTAATCCAGTAGGGCCTGATAGGATAAAAATTGGAAAGATTTGGAGTAGTCAGACTGGTGAGTAGCAAGATTTCTCTTTTGAGAAAAGATTATAGTGAGATGAATAGATGTTACAACACAATGTCACTCCAAATTCTTTTCTCCTATAGCCTACCATTTGATGTGACATTATTAGGTTGTGTTTCTCTCACTAAATGACATTCAGTTGTGTGCAGAAGTTCAAGTGGAATGGAGACGCAGTGTGATTATGTCATATTATGTGATTTAGGATGATAGCAGGAAGAGTGGAAAAAAATAGGGAGACAACAGCCATTTTTAATACTTTGGGGAAAAGGGAGAGGAATTGCATTAAGGGAAAATATTGAATGAGGCACCTTACTTTGAAAGATGGAAGCTTCTAAAAAATGTAGTTTTCCCAACCCACAGATCTTAGCAGCTCAGTGCTCTCTATATATGGTGGTGCAAAACCAAATATAACTGAAATATTGACTGTGAATAAAAACTTAGATTTTAAGCTTAACCAGACATGCTGGCTATAATGCAGCCCAAACTTAGTGCTCCATTGCATTCATTGGAGAAAATATAAGCAGATGCTTTGTATTTTCTTTGAAGGACATTAAAATTTAAATTTCCAAACTTCAGTTGGATAGTTCTCCCCATTAAATAAAGACAATAATTCTTATTATTCAATTATTATCCTGATATTTCATGCTTTTAGGGCTTAAGCTTAATACCAGTGATTGCCAGCAAGAAGCATTTTTTTGCATTCCAAGGACTACACACACCACATCTTTACACAATATTTTATTGCAGCACACAATTTCCCCAACAGCAGCCTATAGCTCTGGGTCAACTCCACTTTTCTAGACTTTGCAAAGTGATGTTGCCATGCAGATGTGTATAATACTCAACACTTTATATTCAGTCATTTCATACTCAGTCCAAAAGCTAAAATAGATGAAGTTTCCTAGTTGAAGAAAAAGGCAGGTTCTTTCCTGCTTTGAAGAATTTATAAAAGAAAGACTATGCTACTTTTACCCTCCAGGTGTTTTGTATGATGACCCCCTCCCCCAGAATCTCTAATTATTGGTTGGCATGGTGATTCAAAACAAACAAAGCATCAACTTGCATATACCTGATTGAAATATGAGAGGTAATAGAAAGGGAGTTTGAGGACAACTCATCATAAAGTGAGCATTGCGTTAGTCCATATAAAAAGAGATCTGGGAAGCTAACTTTCCTCACTGTAATGAGCTAATTTTTTCTTAATGGATGCTATTTTCATCCGGTCTTCTTTTCTCAGCTGCTCCATACTGGATAAAAATGCCCGTGAGCCAGATTTATGGACCAGGGGAGAATGTCCGCCTGGATTGTGAAGTTGATGGAAAACCTAAGCCAAAAGTGTCGTGGAGCATAAATGGGACTCCTCTAAAAGGTGAGTGAACGAGTGAGAAAGGCAGAGAAAGGCAGAGAAAAAGCAGAAGGCTACAATATCATCTTAGCTTCCCGGGGCTAAACTCTTGGCTGCTTTTCAGATGTGATGCCAGATCCAAGAAGGAAGATTCAATCAGGGGCTTTAATCTTCAGCGAGGTGCAGCCCAATGACACCGCTGTTATCCAGTGCCAGGCCCATAATAAGCACGGCAGTATCCTGGCCAATGCATACATCCTTGTTGTCTGTAAGTTCATCTCTCCACTTTGAATCAAAATGGGGCTGCTCACAGTTCAAAGGACAGGCAAAAAAACAAACAAACAAACTAGCAAAGGCTATTTCAATTGTTCTATCACATCACTAACCTTTCAGTTTTCACTTTAAAATTCCTCCAGTAGCTCTTTCTCTTGCAGCAAGATAGGAGTGTGAATGAAGTCTGCACTTCAGTCACCTTTCCAGGGAATGGCATTCAGTATTTATAAATTATGTACAGAGTCTGTTTCTCATTTTGCTCAGGCCTGATGACAAAGGCCTTACAGTGACAAAGACCCTTTTTGCCTCCAAATTAATGGCATGATGTGGCATTGGAGACAGCAACCCACTGAGGAAGTGTGTAGTCATCTTAGTGGGTTTGGCAATGGCTCTTCCCAGAAACCTTTAACTAAGGAAAGGAAAGGAAGGAAATATATTAAAGAGTGAAGATTTGTTTAACCTAACAATCTCATGAGAAGAACACTTATTCTTACCTGCTATTTTATTATTATTATTATTATTTATTTATTTGTCAACAAATAAGAAAACAAGTAACAAAGTAGACACAGACATGGACAAATGAAAAATTTTTGGCACACAAAAAAAGGATATAAATTGGCAAAACATAGCCATAAGCACATAGAATGATTACATATAATTGGGAACAGTAGGACAGGGATGGTAGGCACACTGGTGCGCTTATGCACGCCTCCTTAGGGACCTCTTAAGAAACATGAAAGGTCCATTCTGGCCCATGTATCCACCATCTGTGCTCATCATGGTGTTAAAAAAACCCTGAATATACTGAGTACAGAGACTTTTTTCTGGTTGTTTTCCATTGATTTACAATCCCCTTATTCTGAGGTGGTACCATGTGTTGACACGGCTAGATAGGATTTCTTGAGGAGATGAGTATTCTGCCTCATTGGATACTCATTAGATACTACACTCATTGACTTTTTTGTTTTATCCAGGGTTGCCAGCAGAGATCCTGACCCCAGATGGCATAGAGTATGCTGTGGTGGAGAACCAAATAGTGATCCTACATTGCAAGACTTTTGGGGCACCCAGACCTAAAGTGCAGTGGTATGCTTTCTGTTTTGGGTCATTTTCAGAAAGCACAATGTGTTTTGATTTGTCCACAGCTGCTCTGACATCGTTTTTATAGCTCCTCATATATATCAAAATTCTCTTAGTATTACTCAGTGATAGTCTTTTTCATTTGTACTTGGAAAATCAAATCCCTCTTTGGATTTTATTAGCCTAGCTCTGTCAGATAACAAACCAATGGGCAAAATGCTAGTGCCAACAGAGGAAGAGAATTGGGCCAGTGAAAACACAATTATACTATTAGCCTATTGAGGAAATTGCAGAAGTTACACGAGGGAAACAAAAATCAAACATACGTATTCCATTGCTCTATTCTCTTTTTGGATAAGCAATATTAGGCAAACTATCATAAAGGCCTAAGAAATAGCACTTTAAGCAAAAGAAAGGCAATTAAAGGTGTTATATATGAAAAAAATTATTAGGGGCTGGATTGTGTTGCAAAAGAAATGGCGGCAACTCTGAGTGCACTGAAATGTACTGTAGGGAGAGATCTCTATTTGTCAGACCCCCTTCTCGTTTTCATTTCCCAGGTTTATGGAAGACATGAACCCTGCCCTAAAAGACGAACGAACCTTTATATTCACAAATGGATCCCTGAAACTTCAGGAAGTCCGACGTGAAGATGCAGGAAACTTCACATGCTTGGCTGAGAATGATCAAAACAATGTCTCCATCATTGCCCGCCTGGTTGTCAAAGGTGAGACCAGGTTTTCCAACCATGCATTAAATCAAAGAGAAATATGACAGAAAATAGTTGATCATAAGAGATGTGATAGGAAGGAAGTAACCTGGAACAAAGTACTGTGGCTTTCAGCTAAATCCTCTAAAACTGTTTTCTTCCACAACATTCCACTTCATAAGTGGATGTGGCAGATTATGCCAGAGTTTTTACTATTGGTTGTAACATCAGACGCATTTCTAAAATCCAATGAAATGAGCATTGTGTCATGATGTTTTATTCCTTACACACACACACACATGGCATACAATGTTGTGATGCTCATTTTATCATCTGCCTCCTCCTTGCCTCCCTACCAATGCCCACGTGGATGAGGTTCTGCCAGGCCATCTGCCTGTGGCATCAAACTAAGCTTTTAATCTGGCAAGCCTTTCCGAGAGTTCATATCCCTCCTGGGATGAGGTTGAGGGAAGTTGGTGTTTATTTATGCTTGCTAATAAATTCTTTGTACCTAAAGATGTATTGTCTTTTCTCCAGTGTGGAGAATGGCTTAAGGATAATCTCTTCATGTGGAAAATGACCTGAAGACTTTTATTTAAAATTAAGTAGATGGCAGTTTTACTTGGGAGCAAATGTAATGGATGTTTTAGAGAACTGTGATGCTATCAAATGTGAAATGATTTGTTTACACAATACACTGAACCATAGATCAACAACTAACAACATTTCAGCCTACCAAATTGTGTGAATTCAGCCCACACAGACCCTTTATGGTTCAGTGCATTGTGAAAACCCAAAATTAGCTCAATTGAGTAAATCGTGATTAAGCTTTATGTGAACTTAATAAAAGAGTAGCACTAAAAGATTGGTTGAAAATGTTTTTTTCTGGCTTTTTCAAGGAATGTGGCAGCCTAAAATGTTGTCTTGTTTGTGGTTTAGTCTGCATTGAGAAGACAGTTTCTGTGAAAAGTGTAGGACAAATTTTCAGTGGAAGGAGTCATGTTTTACTTCCTTAAGGTGAAAATGAGGAACTGCTACTGACATTTTCAAGCTGGAAAATGTCTTGGGCCAGTCATAGTTGTATTAGGACACATTCAAGCCATGCTGAAGAATGATTAAAAAAAAAAACCAAGCCACATGGGATAAATGTATGAGAGATATCTACAGTAAGAGTTCATGGGCAGAGAAGCTACAATACAGTATTCCATCCCTATTCCAGGAGCAACACAGATCGAAGAGGGACCTATCAACATGGAAAAGAAGCAAGGTGAGAGTGTGACCTTCCACTGCAAGGTACTGTTTGATGAGAGTATTCCAAAGCGTGGTATCCAATGGCGCCTAGATGGTGAAGATATTGAAGAATCAGATGACGATAACAAGTAAGTTCAAAGAGTACAATCATGTTGAATAAAAGTTTAGGGTTCAAAGGAATTTTTGCATTAACTTTACACTGAATGTTGGTCTTTCCCTAGATACATCATTGGTGACATGTCTCTGACTATCACCAAGGTGGACTTCTCTGATCAAGGAACATACAGCTGCCTGGCCTGGACCACTCTTGACTCTGTAGAAAAAAGTGCCAATCTTTTGGTGTATGGCAAGTATCAAAAAAAGAAAAATTAGATCTGGATTGTTTCTCTCTTGAGGTTAAACTTCAGACCAGGGAAATCTAAAAGGGATGCAGTGATATTCCTGCCGCATGGGTACCAAATTGGTATTTTTTTAAAAAAAATACTAGCTTTTTGCTGTGTATCTGTTTTTGCAATTTGGCCCATGTATATTTCTGGCAAAGCCATCTATAGTACAGCAGTTTTACAACAATAAAAACAGAATTGAACCAAAGCAACTTGTCAATAAATAAAAATAACAGTAATTATATCACAGTTATATACCAAATATACATGAATTTCAAGAAGGGAATGCCAGTTACAAAAACAGGGTTTCAGATTATGTTTTGAAGTAATTAAAGATGTAAATTATACCACAATGGGATGGGAATTGCATAGCATTGAGACAGCTACTGAAAAGGCTCTTTTCTGTATTGCACTGTTATTTTCTTTACTTTCTTTACTTTTTTCTGTTAAAATGTTTATTGTTTTTAATTATTTAATTCACTTTAAATTCTTTTTTTAAAAAAATAAAAATTACAGGTAGTTCTTGACTTACAACAGTTCATTTAGTGACCATTCAGAGACAATGCCGCCAAAATAGTGATTTATGACCATTTTTCACACTGCTGCAGCAACCTCATGGTCACGTGATCAAAATTCAGATGCTTGGCAATATATATAAATTACCATTGCAGTGTCCTGGGGTGATGTGATCACTTTTTGGGACCTTCTTACAAGCAAAATCAATGGGGAAGCCAGATTCACTTAACAACCATAATACTAACCTAACAACTGCAGTGATTCACTTCACAAGTGTGGCAAGAAATGTTGTAAAATGAGTCAAAATTCACTTAACAAATGTTTCAATTAAAAACAGAAATGTTGATCTCAATTGTGGTCATAAGTCAGGGACTATCTGAGTAAGAAAAGGCTTTGCCATTGGTTGATTCCAGTTAGGCCTCAGAAATTCAAGATGGTATGTTCTGATTGGTAAATTAATTAATTTTAATGGGATATTATTTGGGATGTTTAAAATTAAGCTGGATCATTCAGATGTGGTATTCAGCCGGTTCTGACTGGTTCTGGAGAACCAGTAGCGGACATTTTGAGTAGTTTGGAGAATTGGCAAATACCACCTCTGACTGGCCCTGCCCCCATCTATTCCCTCCTGAGTCCCAGCTGATCGAGTCCCAGCTGATCGGCTGGGTCTTCTTTTGTTGCCCTGCACATGGAGCTGGAGAGCAGGTTAGTGGGGTGGGGAGGGAATGGAGATTTTACAGTATCCTTCCCTTCCCCTGGAGTGGAGTGGGGTGGAAATGGAGATTTTACAGTAACCTTCCCCTGGAGTGGGCTGGAAATGGAGTTTTTACAGTATCCTTCCCCTGCCACACCCATCAAGCCATGCCCACAGAACCAGTAGTAAGAAATTTTGAATCCGACCACTGGGATGGTTCGCTGAAATGTGGAGAATTCTAAATATTGATAACAAAATTTATTTATTTATCAAATTTATTTGCTGCCCATTCCTCTGTTCAAGTGACTTGTAAAATAAAATTTATAAATGATATAAGTATAAATGTAAATGCTATAATTTACATACATATGTAATATAATTTATGTTTTAGCTACATATAAAAACATAGTGTATAAGACAAAGCAGACATTGGTCTGTTTTTTAATGAGGTGAATTTGTTTTGTAGTGTGTTATAAAAATACAGACTGAAACCCAATGAATAATGGCTTTGAGCAACAAATGTACAGAAAACTGACAGATAAGTTCAGAATTTTCAAAAATAAGCCTCTATACTCCCATAGAGAGGGGCTCCTCCGGGTGCCGTCGGCCAAACAATGTCGACTGGCGGCCCCCAGGGGGAGAGCCTTCTCTGTGGGGGCACCTACGATCTGGAACGAGCTCCCCCCGGAGATACGGAGGATTCCGGATCTGCGTACCTTCCGTCGCGCACTTAAGACGTTTTTATTCCATCAAGCTGGCCTGACCTAAACTTTTCCTCTTTTAAATGGAATTTTAAATTTGGTCTTAATTTATTGGGGTTTTAAAATGTTTCAGCCAAATTTATTTAATTAGTTTTATCTTCATTTTAAATTTTGTATCCACATGTTTTATTTTATGGCTGTTCACCGCCCTGAGTCCTTAGGGAGTAGGGCGGTATACAAATTTAATAAAATAAATAAAAATAAATAAAAATAAATATTTAAACAAGCTAGTTTTAATTACATTTAATCAATCAATAACTTTAAAGGCTACAAATTCAATCAGCTTTAAATGGCGCGGATTACGCTGTCAGCATATAATTTGTAATAATTAATGTTGTAATTCTGTCCCTGAAGGTGGAGTAAAAGAATTCTAAATTTCATATTGTGGGACAGGCTTGGAAAATCTATATGGGGGGGAAAAATCTTGGATTTTTCTTCTGTAGTGAGGACAGATAGATGAGCAGCTGTCTCATTACTGTCTTTTTTTTGTCAGGCATACCTGGCCCTGTGTCAAATCTGGAGGTGCAGAGGCAGCAGAATCATCAGGTAAAGCTGACATGGACACCTGGAGATAACCACAACAGAGAAATAAAGGGTAAGGAATCGTGCCGAGTATCTCACCATTAGGGAGAAATGACCTCTGATTAATCAGAACTCGTGGATTTTCCCCTTGGAAAAGGCATCCACAAGGCCGGCTGCTTTCATCAAAATCACAAAAGTAGCACTGTTGCACCACAACCTTGGCCTCTTTTGTATCCGCGTGCGGGGTCACGACATGGGTACGGAAGGGGCAGAGCTGACATTACAGCACTGCTTTCATCCTTTCTTCTCATTTGAACCATTCCATGGATGTCTCTACTTGAGAGCAGTTTGGGTGAGCAAAGCAAGAGGTCAATCAAAGTCATCCCTGGCTTCTATTTTTCTCTTAGAGCAGCTCTTAGAAAATATTTGCACAATAGAAAGCACAATAAACAGCCACTTTATATTTCCTTGTTTATATTGCCACTGTTGCTTGTGACTTAGCACAGTTTAAAGTAATCAAATGAAAAAGACTGGTTGAAAAGATGCAGTTGTCTGTGATGTGTAAAATGACTATTCGGGGCTTCCTTAGAGATACCCCTGAATTTTAAAGCTAGATATAAATCAGACATTGGTGAAAATGCCATCTTTACATTTCTCTGTTTCTGTATATATGTAGAAATACAGAAACTATTCAGTCAATCGAGATACTGAATTAACCCAAATGCCTGGATCATACCAAACCAAAAATTAGCTTCATCTATGTACAGGTGCATTTTACCTCAGCTTGTAGCATAAACCTAGGAAAGCCATAAGGGCCTAGTGAAAGGTGATAGCAATTTTAATAAGCTTTTTTTAAAAATCATTCAAACTCTGAGATGATGTTTCCCTTCTCCCTCACAGAATATAATGTGTTTTGTGAAGAAACGAAATTTGGGCCAGCAGAAAAGGAATGGATAGCCACGGTCCCAGGAAACCAGCCATGGGCTATTCTTCACCTCTCTCCATTCAGAAATTATAACTTCTATGTGCAGGCCAGCAATGACCAGGGGAAAAGTGAATTAAGTAGCCGGTCTGCCAGTCATGCCACAGATCCCGCAGGTAAGAAAGTTCAAGATGCTGGAAGAAGGCTATAGGGATGGACCCTTGTTATGGGCAATTGTCCTTGTAAAAGTTAACCCAACCATGCCATGCACAAAATAGTGTTGCCCCATAAACATTGGCTCCTAATGCCTCTGGGACAGGCATTTTCACTCTGGGAGACACAGTGGATATTTGGTCTTGGTTGATTCAAAACATACAGACATCCCAGTATAACTCTAATCTCTTTGTTTTCCAGCACCTGAGCGAAACCCAACTGATGTCAGAGGAGAAGGAAATGAAACCACAAATATGATCATCACCTGGACGGTAAAATATTCTTTCACCTCAGTGATATTGGTCCCAATCTCTTGTGCGCCTCACCCACAGATTCAATGCCACTGGCATCATTTGTAGGACTATGTTGTAGTGCAAGGAGTGGTTGCTAGAGTTGTTGAATTTTTACTGAAAAGAAATTCTGATTTTTGTGTAATTATTCAAGGTTGGTGGATTTATTTTTCATGGAAAGATTGGTTCTAATTTATAATGTCCTTGAGCTTGTCTGTACAAATATAGCCCACCATCCAGTGGTGAGTTCCTCCCGGTTCGGCCAGTTCTGTGGAGCCGGTAGCAGTGACAATATGACATCACCGAACCGGTTCTCCCCCCCCCCCCCCCCCCCACGTTATTCTTACCTTTTATTTGGCCCCACCCCCAATCTATTGCTGCCTCCTGCGTCCCAGCTGATGGGCTATAAGGAAAAAAACTGTTTAAACTCTTGCCGTGGGGCTTCAAAGGGCCTCCCTACAGCTGATCAGTGGTAAAAGGCAGTTTGGTGGTAGACCGGTGCCTGCAAAAATACATGAGTAGACCAGTGCCTGCAAAAATAAATGGGTAGACCAGTGCCTGCAAAAATAAATGGGAAGACCGGTACAGCTCTGCAAGCAGTTAAAAGCCTGGTAGATCAGTACCTCTGCTAAATCCTAAAGAATTGTCACATGACCATCAAGCCACGCCCACATAATAAGCCACGCCCACAGAACCGGTAGTAAAAAAATTTAGAACCCACCCCTGCCACCATCATGAACACAGTCCATGGGCTTAACATTGTCAGGCACATAGGAAACTTAAACAGACCCCCAAAGGAAGTAACATATGGGTAGTTCACAAATTAAAACCTTTCATATAGTGACTGATCAAAATTACAATGACACTGAAAAAAGTGACTTATGACTGGTCCTTGCACTTATGATGGTCACAGCATCCCCACGATCAGGTAGTCATAATTTGGGTGTTTGGCAACCCGCATATATTTATGAGGGTTGCAGTATCTCGGGATTGACTGCCATTTGCGACCTTCCCAGTCAGCTTCCAAGAACAGAGTCAATGGGACAAACTGGATTCTTTTAACAATCACATGATTCACTTAAGAACTGCAGTTATTCACTCAATAACGTGGCAAAAAAAGGCTTAGCTTCTATTGCTTAGCAATAGAAGTTCTGGTCCCAATTGTAGTTATATGTCGTACATGATTAGAGATCTACATTTGGGTTTTGCAAGCCTCTTTATTCTATCCTTGGAGCAGATTGGACTGAAACTGTCCCATATGGTGGGATTGAAGGATGGTCTCTTCAGGAGGAAGGCACCACTACTGCTTTCAAGGAAATCAGCATTTTCCAAATCCAGTTGCACGCATCCTGTTCAACTACCCGAATTTTGCAATGCTCTGAAAACAGTTGTGCCCTGATGGATCTTTGGGATGGAAGTTTATCTCCATTCCTGTCATATCTGAAGTTGAAACTTTTCAGTTCACACAGTTATATAAACATGACCACACTTTATAAACTGTCTTTGTTTATATCCTGCTTCCAGAGATCAAGTGGATGAGTACGCAAGGGATTTTTAATAACGTCTTCTTGATTGTGGCCTTTCCTCCTGAGAAAGTGTGATTTGTTTCTGCCTAATTCATTTAATAATTTAAATGGGAATCAAAGATCATTCTGTATCATCAAGCTCTTGATGCTATATGTTTTATCACATCCACATTCCCTTTTGTGGTTTTTTTATTTATTATTAAACATGTACTTTGCCGTTAGGCATCTGTAAGCACTTAAGGCAGTTTACAGCAATACAGATAAGTTGCTTATGTGTAAATATGTTAAATTGCTATTACTTTGCTGGCTTCCTGTGCCGTTCAAAATCATATGGGCTACTTCATGGTGAATCTTCCTTTCTTTAGCTTAGTGCCAGTGGTTAACTTGCCACGTGTGTGACAGAAAATGTGTGTGTTGCAAGGTCTGGAAGTCGTGTTTGTGTTGAAGCAGTGTATGCCCCCACACCCCAACTGTCCATTTTAGTCACTTAACTCTGTTTGGGTTTGCTATGTTGTTTGCGTTCCAGCAGAAATAGGTGGCAGCATACCAGTGTGCTTCTCTTCCAGAATTGTCCCTGAATTGTCACGCTTGTCATAATGATAGGTTATTTTGGCTGAATTCCCAGGAGGAAACTGATGCCAGATGCTTCATTTCAGAGAGGTTTCTACCAAATTCAGCTGCTATTCCTGCTACAGCTGGCCTGGCACTGGTTGCTCCACATGGTTCATTTGTAGCGCCTAGAGGAAGATGCCATGTAAAATCCCACACATTTCAAAGATGCCAGTTGCTTTTTGTCTCCTGAATTAGAAATGTGTTTCTCTTCATGGAAAAGGGGGAGTTGGTTATGGAAATCCCCTTCCTTCTTGACGCCAACAGGATTCCCAGAAGCGCTTTGACAATTGGAATAATAAAACTAGCTTTGTAATCAAGAAGCATTAGGCATGTCACGCTCTTATTTAGAGAAGGTGAAATGAACAGAAGAATTTAATGGGAAAAAAATCCTAAGATTTTAAGCATTTCCCCAGTAGAATTAAGAGCATAATACTGGTTTATCACTTTTTAAAAGGTTTTGTTTGCTTGATTGTTCCTAAGGAGAAGACAAAAAGTAAGCCTTGCTTATAAGTGATATTTGCATTTGAGAACTGTTAACAGGCAAACTTTAACTTTGCTTTAGGCATTAGCTGAAAGCACAAAAAGATGACCACTGAGGAAAATTTGCAACATACCTTATTATAAGATGTTTGCTTTTTTTCTTGCCCCCATCTTGTCTGTCTTTGTGCCTCCACCTGCTGGTGTTTTGGAGACATGTGGTGCTTCCAATGCATGGTTTCTTCAATCTTTTCTTGAGCAGTGTCTTCCTTCCAGATTTGGCCATTGCTGCTTACCTTATGTTGTATCAAGAGATGGAAAAGTAATATATCTCTTGTTTAGATGGCCATTTGGGTAGTTACCCATGGCAAGCAATTGGTCTTGACATAACTACTCAGGCTGACATTTAAAAAGGAAGTGGCAGACTGCCATTCTTTCCCGTTTATTCATTTATTAAACAAATTTATGTAGCAGCCCAACTTACACATAGGTGACTCCTGGTGGCTTACAAAATTTAAAAGAATCCACCATATAATAAAAACCCATACAAAAACCCATATTCCACTCCCCATGACATGAACAACACAATCAAATCAACCTCTTGATTGGCTCCATCTCCATTCATGGTCCGCAGGCCCACTGACAAAACTTTTTTTAGGGCCTTTTGGAAAGACAACAGGGTGGGAGTCAACTGTACCTCTTGGGGAGTGATGTTCCATAAAGAAGGGCCCACCACCAAGAAGGTCCTTTTTCGTGTTGTCACCAGACGTACATCCCTAATTGATGGATGTAATGTACAGACAATGAAAGTATGGTTTAAAAACAACAAGCATGAAAATCTTTGGCAGGCTCATTCCCTTCTGCCACATGTTCCATTTTTTCAGCTGTTGCTCTGTTGCTGCTATCTGTCATGATAGCCATGAGTCCAGGGGCAGAAAAAGCAGCATATTCTACTCCATAGCCCTTTTCTGACTCCCAATTTGACAACCTTCTGGTGCCGTGATTCTGGCTGTTGCAACAAAAATCAAGAGTGAACAGTATGCAGTTGGCATAAGAAGAGGTCATAACAAGATGGGAAATCAAAGAATAAATACAACAGACTGACCTGTTGCTGAGGGACAGGAACCCCTTGTTGCAACGGGATTCTTCAGACTTACGTTTTTTTTATTTACTCCCATCGAAGATCATATTACTAAGATGGACACTATTTTGGGAAGTTCAGACTTCTAATTTGAGCTACAAAGAGTGTATTTTTAAAATACTATTCTCTTTCCTGGGAATTTGGATAGGATGAGCTCAGTTATCTAGTTTACTGTGAGTGATACCTATCTCTTTATACTATAAATATCGGAAGTTGACTTTCCTATCACCAAGACAGAGGACATATGAAATAAATCGCACCTGTTAGCCAGGCCTCTGCTTCCTGTATATCTGAAATACCCACGTATTTTTTATTATATTGTTATATTCCTAACCCTTCCTAAGCCAGGTAATAAATTAGTTCTGTAGAGATGACAATTCAATTGCTAAAATTCCTGTAAACCCTAATCTCAACTCAACAATGACTTGTTAATGAAGGCACTATGAATGAAAATCTTGCTTGGAAAAGGTATTTTCAATCAGGAACAATGCCCAAAGGCTACAGATTTGACTTCTACACCCACGTTTCTTTGGTGTAATATTCTGGTAATATTACGATGGACTTTTATTTCCATCTTTGCTATTAAAACTGTAATATTCTTCAGTTTTTTCTTTATCCTAAAGGAAATGAAAGGAAAAAAGGTCTAAACTTGTCATTTCTTTGATTGCATGATTCACAGCTACTGGTAATTCATATATTAAAAAAGAATCCCTCCTTTTATTACTCTTCTTCTACATTCCATGGATCTGCTCCTGAGTTTTGGGATCGAGTTAACCCATTGGTCTGCTCAAAGTTCTAATCCCTTCAACTTTGATGCAGGCTCATCACAATCTGGTGACCTTTCATTATAATCTCTGGCCCAGAAGTCAGAGACCTACGTTCCACTTTCTCTCTACAAGAGAAAACTACCCCTTTTGTGAAACAGTTATCATTTTTAGCTTTCAATCAATGCGCTAACTATACTCCAGGTACTGCCTACATTATCTATGACAGGGGTCTCCAACCTTGGCAACTTTAAGACTTGTGGACTTCAACTCCCAGAATTCTGGGAGTTGAAGTCCACAAGTCTTAAAGTTGCCAAGGTTGGAGACAGTGGTGAAATCCAAATTTTTTTACTACCGGTTCTGTGGGCGTGGCTTGGTGGGAGTGGTGTGGCTTAGTGGCCATGGCTTGGTGGGCATGGCAGGGGAAGGATACTGCAAAATCTCCATTTGACCCCACTCCAGGGGAAGGATACTACAAAATCTCTATTTCCACCCCACTCCAGGGGAAGGATACTGCAAAATCCCCATTCCCTCCCCACTCCTGGGGGAAGGATATTGCAAAATCTCCATTCCCACCCCACTCTGGGGCCAGCCAGAGGTGGTATTTGCCAGTTCTCCAAACTGCTCAAAATTTCCACTACCAGTTCTCCAGAACCTGCTGGATTTCACCCCTGGTTGGAGACCTCTGACTTATGAAATGGCTTGGCTACATCCTTCATTCATTCAACCCATATCTTGCTAATGGAAAACCTATATAATATAAACGACAATATAAATGATATTTTAATTTAATATAATTTAAATGCTAAATGTCCTTGTCCCTAAACTTCCATGTTCAAACTACTAGGTTCTCAAAATTACTTTTCAAAACATCTTCCATTTCTTCAGTTACATATGTGGTTCCTTAGCAGATTTGCTTTGCTTTACTACTTAATCTCTGAAATGGATGCATTCAGTGAGACATCGCACTGGTAATATTGAAAACCAGCCAGCCATGTTAAGCTGGATATAATCATTCCACAAATGGATGCCCTAATCTGAAGCATTGTATCTTCTCTTCTTCTGCTCAGCCTACATCTGTTTGCATCTACTAACAAGCAGTGTCTGAAGTTCTATTAATGATCGGAAATTGGCAGATGGTTTATAACTGGATTAAATCACTTTTATAGGTGTTTGCTTTAATCCTTCACATTACTAAGATTTATTCTTGCTTTCTCCAGCTACTATCACTATGCATTTTAATAACCCCACAGTGACAAAGGCAACTGAAGGTTGACTTTCTCACTGAGATATTCTCTGCTTATTTGAGAAAACTAATTTCTCAAGGAGACAGCAGGATATATTACACCGACTTCCAAGGCCTCCATTTGACAGCATGGGTTCTCCTATGCAGACATTCAACTAGAAGGCCACATTGCTAATTCTTAGAAAAACCTTAAAGATGGACTTTTATTTCTAAGTTTGCTATAAAAAATTGTAATAGTTCACTGATTTTTCAAGGGTTTCTTTTTGTTTAATAGTCAAAAGCTCTAAATTTGTCATCTCTTTCAGTTAACTATGTCCCTGTAACAGGTTATACTATCTTCTTGCACAGCTAAACGTTTCAAAGATCTGTTGAATTTATATCCTCTATTCTGCCTGTGATGGCAGGCTGTCTCCATGAACCCAGTTCCAACATGGAGTCGGTTTATGTTTCTCAGTCTTTTAACTGCACAGCTGTGCAAAACTGCAGTATTTATTGGTATGCACCTGTTGACCCGCAAAGATTGCAAATTCTGAATGCAATTGCATGAGTGCATCAGTCATGAGAACTCCACACCCTTCTGAGCAGATATTTCTTATCTTGCTTTCCATGAAGTCATGGCCCATTTTTCCTTTTAATTGAAAGCTGCTACTGTCAAGAGGATGGGTGGGCTCCAGTGGTGGATTTCAAAAAAAATTATTACTGGTTCTGTGGGTATGGCTTGGTGGGCGTGGCATGGGAAGGATACTGTAAAATCTCCATTCCCTCCCCAATCCAAGGGAAAGGTATTGCAAAATCCCCATTTCCTTCCGATCAGCTGGGACTCAGGAGGCAGAGAATAGATAGGGGTGGGGCCAGTCAGAATTGTTACTACCAGTTCTCCGAACTACTCAAAATTTCTGCTACCGGTTCTCCAGAACTGGTCAGAACCTGCTGAAACCCACCTCTGGTGGGCTCACATTTCATCCTAAAATATAATGAGGTTCACTTAAATTAAGCAAGATGTGTGAGTCCATTCATTATAGCTTTCTTACGTATATACAAGATCACTATAATTTAAAAGCCTTGACATTATGTGTAAACACAATTAATTTATCCACCAACACAATTAATTTATCCCTGCCATGAATTTACTTTTTAAAAAGAAGCTGCCCAAAGAAATAATCACCTGCTAATCATTCACATCTTATACTAGGATTAACTTTATAATGTTTCAAATGCCCCAGAAAAGCCATGGACAGGACAAGAGCAGGATAGAAACCTTCTCTTTGTGTTCCTGAGCAATTAGTGTCAAGAGGCCTACTGCCTCTGATCCTGAAAATATTGTGACTAATAGGCATTGATAGTTTTATCCCCCCATTGATTTTTCTAATATCTTTTTAAGGATAATAAAAGCAGAGTTGATAGCCACTGCTGCTTTTTAAGATAGCAGAATCCATGCACTCTGTGGTGCAAAAAGCCTATTATTTAGTCTCTCACAAATCTTTTACCTTTTGTCTTTTTAGGGGACCTAAAGGTCCCATGCTGATGACCTTCTACCGCTGCACCATAGAGAGTATTTTAACTTACTGCATCTGTGTATGGTTTGCCAATTGCACTGTGGCAGATAGGACAGCACTCCAGAGGGTTAACGTCATTGCCCAGAGGATCATTGGTTGCCCTCTCCCCTCTTTGGAAGAGCTTTATAGCTCCCGCTGCCTTAAGAAAGTTCAAAACATTCTTAAAGAGCCATCTCATCCTAGGCACCCTTTTTTTGAACTATTACCATCTGGCAGACGGTATAGGATAATAAAAACAAGGACAAATAGGCCAGAGGTGGGTTCCAGCAGGTTCTGACCAGTTCTGGAGAATCGGTAGCAGAAATTTTGAGTAGTTCAGAGAACCGGTAGTAAAAATTCTGACTGGTCCCATCTATTCTCTGCCTCACAATTCCCAGCTATTTGGGAGGAAATGGGGATTTTGCAGTACCCTTCCCCTGGAGTGGGGTGGGAATGGAGATTTTACAGTATCCTTCCCCTGCCACGCCCACCAAGCCATGTCACACCCACCAAGCCACACCCACAGAACTGGTAGTAAAAAATTTTGAAACCCACCACTGAAATAGGCTGAAAAACAGCTTCTATCTCAGGGCAGTAACTATATTGAATTCTACTGTATAGTGCAATATTAATTCAATATCGGTTTTCAATTCAGTTGTATAGAATGTGAAGGATGTATGTTTGTGTTTTATTTTTATAATTATAATGTACACTGAACATGGCATTTGATTTTGTTGTACGAGGTGCAATGACAATAAATAAACTAACTAAACCTAGAGTTCTAGAATTGTAAGAGATGATGAAAAGCTTCTGTTTTCTCTTTGAAGGGTGTTTTCTCACAATTCTTCTGCTATGGTGGCTGGAGCTGCTAAGAGTAATAATCCAAATTAATTAGTAGGTCACCAGATTACAGTACCTTCCTCTGTTTGAGGCCAATGTGCAGCTTTGATTTGCTAATGTTATGCAGGAGTAAAAGTGATCTCATGCCCGGCTTCAAAACGGCTTGAAAAGATTATTGGAAAGCGCTCTGCCAAAGTGTTCCCATTCAATGAAGCTTGACAATGAAGTTTTTCCTCTTCCTCCTGCTTATTTTTCAGCCCTTGCCTCACAAGGAGTGGAATGCCCCAATGATGAAGTATCGTGTACAGTGGCGGCTTGAGAATGAAGGCCAATGGGATGAGGTTGAAATTGAAGAACCTCCTGTACTGGTGACAGATACCCCTGTCTTCTCACCTTATGAGATCAAAGTGCAAGCACAGAATGATTTTGGCAAAGGGCCTGAGCCTGAACCTGAAAAAGGTTATTCAGGGGAGGATGGTGAGTAATGGGGGATCCATTCCTCCCTTGTGCCCATAGATTCAACAAAACTCAGCTATGTTACAAATTGAGGAAGTTTTAATCCCAGCACATCTGGAGGTATCAAATGGAGGAGGGGTGGAGGTAATGTAGATTATTTCAGTACCAACCATGGCAGGAAACCAAATTAGATGCTGAGCATCGATCTTCTTTTTCAAACAATTCACTAGAACATTGCTATGCTATCATTGCTCTTCACCCTGCATCTAAGATTTCCATTTCTCTCACATTTCTGAGGTAGTTTTTAAATCCTTATTTCTGAAAATGTGTGTTTTTGAAAAAGAAAAAAGTTGTAATTATCTTCTTTATCATCTTTTAGATGTAAGATGATCCCTCACCTCCCATGTTTATGTAAGAGTTATTTTCTAAATAGGATTCAAATGTGTTACTTTTGCTTCCTCCACTGAAAAGGAGTCTGATAGCATCCTTGCGGGCTTGTTAATTTGAAAATTGCTGTGAGAAAATTTTTGCTGCTCCTAATTTTTGAATTCCATAGTCCAATGTTCTCAACCTTGCAATTTTAAGATGCCTGGATTTCAACTCCCAGAATTCCCCAGCCAGCAAAGCTGGCTAGGGAATTCTGGGAGTTGAAGTCCAAGCATCTTAAAGCTGCACAGGTTGGGAAACACTGCCACAATCTTTTGTGGCTTTTCTCCTATAATGCCTTCAAGGACAGATAGCTCTGTTGGATGGGGAATGGTTTTACTACTCAGTAAAACAAGTAGAGCAGGATTTACTTCTCATCCATACCCAGCAGAAACTGCCAAAAAATATAAGTAACAGTTTACACAAACAGTCCTTTATAATTGGATGTTTTAAGCATACAGAAGTCTTTAATGACAGAATTCAGTTATTGCTTTCACTATCATAGTCATCTTGGTTATATGTATATAAAAAATACTGGAGACAGGTCCTTGAAATTGCTGGATTTTATTTTTTCTAAATTGAGGGTGGGCTATTGCCTGCTTGTTCAGCCAGCAGTTTCAACTAAAACTTTCCCAAAAGTTCAAATTGAAATTTGTTCTGGAAAACCTTGACCCAATTAACATTCCAATACTGAACCTACTTAGCTAATCTCACTGGGAGATTCCTTAGTAATCATTTCTAAGATTGCACAGTACGTTAGAGATTTCATCTTAATTTATATTTGTGCCTCCTGTGATACTCCAACTTTTTTTTCCCTCTCATGGTGGCAGGGAAGAGTTTTACTGTATTGTTCAGAAGGATGGGGAATGCCATTTCTGATTCCCCCCCCCTTTGCCAACTTTGCTTCCAACGCTCCATGGCATAGGACCTGGGTATTTGCGGGACCGCCTTCTGCCGTCAATAGCCTCCAACCGACCAGTACGCTCCCACAGAGAGGGACTCCTCAGGGTGCCGTCAGCCAGGCAATGTCGGCTGGCGACCCCCAGGGGGAGGGCCTTCTCTGTGGCAGCTCCTGCCCTCTGGAATGATTTGCCCCCAGAGATACGAAGGGTATTGGATCTCCGGGTCTTTTGCCGTGCCCTAAAAACTTTTCTTTTCCATCAAGCAGGGCTGGCGTGAAACTCCCCCCCCCCTTTTTTTTAGCCTTTTAAATTGTCAATGGGTTTTAGTTTGAATGTTTTAAATTTTGGGCCAAAGTCATATAATTCTTTTAAAAATTTTAAATTTTGTATTGGTATGTGTTTTAGTTCTGGCTGTGCACCGCCCTGAGTCTACTAGGAGAAGGGCGGGATACAAATTGAATAAAATAAATTAAATAAATAAATAAAGTTGATAAAGCATATTGTACAACTAAAAAGTTTGCTATTGTACTACTTTGTGACATTTGGGACTATCTTAATAGAGGAATTCCCCAATAGAGCTTTCTTTGGGAATTTGGAGTCTTGGCACTTGCAGAATTCCCGATGCCATGTCTCTTTGTAGAACTATCAGACTGAACTTTCATCTCCCTTTCCTTTCTTGCTGAAATTGAAAGTGTAAAGGATCCCTCTTTTCCCTAGTGCCCGAGGCTGTCCCTGAAGATCTGTTGATCGAGATGATAAACAGCACTACCATCAAGCTTTCTTGGATCCTTCCCAACAGAGAGAAAATTTGGGGACATCTTAAGGGATTCAAGGTATGGCACAAGAACTTCGCATTGCATCCTGGAGGACAGCATTTGAAGCACTTTTTAAAATACTTGGTGCCCTCGAGATATGTTAGAATTGGCTTTATCTAGTGATTGGCTAGATTTCTACAGCCCAAGTGTGGTAATACTACTCCTAGAATCCTCAAAGGGCAGATTTCCTGGAGTATTATGGGTTAAAATTCAAAATATTTGGAAAACTCCAAATCCGGAGTGGGTGGGTAGAGAGAAATCTGTCCTGTCACAATTATGGTAAACATTATATCTCGTATAAATCATGTTAACTGCCTTCATACTGTAAACTTTATCCTTCATATAAATTCCCAAGCTATTGTAATATTGCATCTCCAAGTAGTAAAATCAGAGTAAATAATGTAAAAAGAGTCAACTGATGGAGAATAAATTTCACCACGTAAGGACTGTGGACAGTCCTTAGGTATAATATATCCACACAGGTTACAAGATGCGGATGTTTATGGTACAGAACTGAGATTGATTTGCTGCAGAATTGCTTTTTAATTTTTTTGTTTTTTAAACTCAGGGTAAACACTGGCCTGTGGGACTTCAGCAAGACTCTGAATAGAACTGCCATTCGGCCAGAAGTTTACTGACCAGGCTAGAATTACAACTGAATGTAAACCCAGAAATTGTATGTTTTGTTTGTATCATTTCCCTGCTTTTTGCGAGAGATTCCTTGTTAAAGGTGCCCTTCAGGGAAGGGAACATTCAATACGTGCTGAAAAGCATTTTGGCCTTGTATGCCTTCTATTCATACAAATTAAGAAGGAGACATAATTCTTGACATGCTCAGAGGCACTCTTCCAACACATTTTGGAGGGGAGGAATGAGCGATTCCGCTTACGATGACAGGCATTTTTCAAAAAACTTGCCAATATTGAGTGAGCTGGTGAATGTGGGTGTCTTGAGATCTGGGCAAATAATTTCTCCCTCTTTCTCTTTCTTTCTCTGAAATTCCACCTTCACCAGGTGTATTACTCCAGGCTGGGAACCCTGGCAGAACGTAGCCGTCGACAGGCCCATCTTCACTTCCATTCCCACGGGGAGCTGCTGATTTTGGGGAATGTGTCTGAAGTCATACTGGGGGGCCTCAGGCCCTGGAGCCGGTACCAGGTTCAGCTGGCAGTGTTGAATGGGCGGGGGGAGGGGCCCCGCAGCGAGGCCATGGAGTTTGTTACACCTGAGGGAGGTAAGAACCGGCAGCCTTTCGCCCTCAGACCTTTCAATCTGTGCTTCCCTCTATCCACCTTCTGAACTTCTTTCCAACTTCTGCTTCTAGAAGCTCTCCCCGTCCATATTACTTTATTTAGACCTTGCATTATGTGCAGAATATTAGACAGAATGTATAAAAGAGTTGAAACATGAAGTGTGAACGCAGAAATACTTTGCTCACAAATCAGGTCTGAAAGGCATGGGATGTGCTGAAACGAAACAAATCCCAGGCTGTCCAACTGTTTTCCTATTTGGCAACCCCATTTAAGATATTTTAACTTCATGAGAAAATATGGTAGTGCAACCAGGGAAATAGTGTATAAGGCATAAAACTGAATTGGAGGAGGGTTAATTCTAAATCAAATAAATTAAAATGAGCCTCTAATAACCACAGATTCCTCTGCCCGCTCAATTAATCAGTTTGTAGAAACTATTGTCTTAAAAGTAAAAATTTGCATGAAGGGGGGAAACTATTGCTGTTATTGGTACTATTATTGTTATACAGAAATAATGATATGGTAGGTGTGGACAATCTTTTAGGGGTTGTAAAAGAATATAATGAGGGACAGCACTGCAATAGGAGGAATAATAGTAGAAAATGGGCAAAGTATATTACTGTATATCTGAGTATGTGGGTAAAGCTGGATTTTTCTGGATTGGAGGAAATTAGGTTTTTCTTTATGTTATTAAAATTTAGATAGTGAAGGCCTCATTAGTTAGCATCATTTATATGCTGCCTTAATCATGGATTCTTGGGGACTTACATCTAAAATTCATACTAAATTCACAAATTCTAAAAACATAACAATAAAAATGCAAACCACTAAAAACAAAAGCTAGAGAGAAGGCAAGGCCCTTGGGTTGACAACCTCTTCCTCAAAAGTTCTGTGTCAGTGTTTCTCAACCTTGGCAAATTGAAGATTTTGTGGACTTTAACTCCCAGAATTCCATGCCCTTAAAGATGCCAAGGTTGAGGAACACTGCTCTATGGGAAAAACATTTATTTTTAAATCTTAAAAGATTATAGTAAAGGTACTGTCTTGATCTTCAGAATAAGATGTTTCATTGGGCTTGAGCTGTCATAGAAATCCATTTCTGGAACTCAGGACCCCTCATTTTTTGTGGTCTGGTAATCCTCAACCCATCTCCCAACTTGTGTGCTTATGATAGGCTCTTGTAGTGTAGTATTACTGTCATGTAGAAGAGACATCAAACTCTCTATTTCCCACCCTCATAGTGGCAGAAAAATTGCAGTACAGCATTGCAGTCAAAAACGACTCAAGACATGTCTGTCTTTGGGACTTGACCTTTGCCATCCATTGTACTGTAGGATAATTTTATTTTCTCTCCATAACAACAGTGATTTCATTCTATCAGGACCTCTGTTGTGGCTTTGGTTGCAATACTAAGACAGAGTAGATAAATTAAGCATTATGCGATGACTGCTTTGCAAAATGGCAGATAGATTTTTTTGTTTTGATGGGCTTGTTCTTGCTAATGGGAATTTGCTCCAAGTATTTGGAGAATCCAAAAGGCTGGAGCATGCCCTGTCTACTACAGCTTTCTTCCCACTTCTCACCATTTATAACCCTCTCCTTCCCATTTACATTCCTTGTGCCCTTCACTCTCAATTTCTCTTTGCCTCCTTACATAGTACCTAGCACCCCTGAATTCTTTCAGTTGGACTATCTCTCGGACACAGCAGTGTTGCTAGAGTGGATGCCTCCAAAATATCCTAATGGGAGAATCCTGAGATACGTGTTGGGATACCAACAAGGTGAGTCTGTAGCAGCTCTGGGTTTTTCGGAGTTTTTCCCTGTAGCACAGGGAACCTGGAGAGGAAAATCCTCACACATATTTTATATTTAGGTATGTTGCTTTTGATGCTGCTGTTCTTGTCACAACTTTCTTTGAGTGATTATTACCGTTGCATCAATACTGTTAATCAGGACTTTTGAAGGTGATCAAGGTTCAGCAATGAAGGATACTGTTAGAGAATCCCTGTGAGATGACGATCTGTCCTGTACTTAAAAATCCCCAGCAAAGAAGAACAACTGCTTCTCAGATCAAATACTTCCCTGATGTTTTGCTGAAATTTGCTTTCCTGCCGTTTCCACCTGATGTTGTAATCCTACCTCCCGCTGTAATACAGAATAATTCTACCCACAGTCTTTCAGTTACTTCAAGAATCCTAACATTTCCCACCCGCAGTCTTGTTTTCTATAAGCTGAATTTACCAGTTCTTTCAATATTTTTTCAAGGCAGAGACTGGTTTCACAGGATTTTCACCATGCTGGTTTCCACGTCTTAGTAAAATATGTGGCACCGGAATGGGTCGTAGCTTTTTGAAAGCAAAATAGTTATGTCTTTCTTCCATTCCTTCAGTTTCAGTAGTAGATAATCATGTTTCTGATGAATCTGAAGGGACTTAAAGAGACTCAGGATGGGAGACATATTAAAAATGGAATCTGATTTCTAGCCTATTGTGGCAAGAATCACTAGCTAGCATTCGGTGATTTTTGCCACAATATGCTGAAAATCAGATTCCATTTTTAATATCTCTCCCATCTTCCTTCCCTTCATGCATGGTTCCTTCTTATCTGTTTTATGCTTGTTGAACACTGCCAACTCAGCAACAGGATTTGCATTTTCTGGCATGATACCTGCCTTCTCCAAGCTGACAGGTTCTGCGAAATGAAATCCATCAGATGACAATGGCATTATTTTCTGATAATTGACCTGTTACTCTTCTGCGATCTTGTGCCTAGCCAATCAGACAGAGATGGACATTGACAACATCCAAATCCCACCCACCCAGTACAGGCTCAATCTCAGCGACCTTGATCCCCACACTCCCTACAAATTCTCCTTGTGGGCAGAAACCAAAGAGGGTCGAGGAGAAATATCCTTACTTGAGGAACATACAATGCACGAGTCAGGTATGTGAAGCCTTAAAAATATTTCCTATTAATATTAAAAAAAGAGATGATATATTTCCTACAATATTTTCCTAGAAGCCATGGTTAGTGTCCTGAGCTAAAATATGCTTAATTTTTAAAATTATTATTTCCTGTTTGGTTTGCTCTCTGCCTTTTGTTCAGAAGCTCATTTTGAAAACATAGTGCTCCCTGTTTCAATTTTCGCTTATAAAAACCCTGTAAAGTAGGGTGGGATGACAGCCCTGACCTCTTCTTCAGCACCCATGGCTTTATGACCTCTTTTCACACTTACAACCATCACACTATTCCAGCAGTCATGTGATTGCTATTTGGGCACTTGACAGCTGGCTCACACTTAGAACCAGTTGCCGCATCCTGTGGTTTTGTAATTGTAACCTGTGGCCCAGTCATGTAATGATTCATTTTATGACTGTTTTGATGGTGGAGATTCTGATCCCAATTGTGGTCATAAGTCAAGGACTCCCTGTAGACCAGGGGTCCTCAAACTATGGCCCATGGGCCAGTTACAGCCCACCGAAGCCATTAATCTGGCCCATGCGGGACCGCGAGGCTGCCCTGCCCACATCGCCCCACCTACCTGCCAGCCCCCACTCGCCTTCTGAAGGCCGAAGAAGCCCAAAACGGGATGTGCGGAGGCCCCAGGAGGTCAAAACAGACCTGTTTTTGGCTTCCCCAGCCTCCAGAGAGAGAGAGAGAGAGAAAGAGGGAGGGAGGGAGACACACACACACACAAAGTCCCTCCCCCCCCCCCCCCAATGCAGCCACATCCCTTCACTAACCTGCTTTCCACCCCCAGGAGCATAACAAATTAAAGTTTAATTTGTGTGTATTGTTTGGACTGCTAAATTGGCCATACCCACCCAGTCACATGATTACCTAGCCATGTCTACCCAGCTGGTCTGCCCCCCCAACAGTCTGAGGGACCGTGAATTGGCCCCCTGTTTAAAAAATTTGAGGACCCCTGCTGTAGACTATAATTGGTCCTATGATATTTCCATAGATTATATCTCTACTAGGGTCTACTCGAATTGTTTACACTGTTAGCCTATGCCTTTCTCTGTCACAATTTCTTTAATTCTTTCCTACTTTCAGCTGTGAAAAGCTTTGTGAGTGTGTTCTGTGTACTTTGTTATATAGAGGCGAGAGTTGAGTATTCAAAAGAAGCATAAAAGTGAAATTGAATGCAATAGAATTAGTTACTTAGTGTGTGGTCAAATAAGAAGAGGTAGGGCCGAAAATGAATGAGTGCTGAATGAATGTGGATTGAATTCAAAATAAAATGACAGTATAGACTTTCAGGTGGTTTGGTCATGTAGAGGGAATGAGTGTTAAACTGTACAGCAACATCTAGAAAGATGAAATGGTGAAGAAGAAGACCAAAAATATCAGGGTTGAATGACTTATTGAGATCTTGAAAAAGAGAGAGGGACATTACAGAACAGGCAATGTATGAAGCAACATATGGACACTGTAGAAGGAATGCTTGGTTTAGCTTGATATAAAAATATGGAGAAATGTGTTGAATGGTTTGGGTGTTCTAGCTATGTTTCCTAATATTTTCCCCTTATCTCGCCTCCTAATTGCTTTATCTAACTATTTCTTATTCTTTTACTGTGCTCTACGTAATGCTGCTCACCCAAAAGGAAATAACATGATATGTACATATGTATGTATGTATCTACTCAGCGATGCTGAAGTATCAGATGTCATAGTGGATGGTCCAGCATGTGTAAAGCAATTTGAAAACAAGAAACGACAGCAGCCGTGTATCAGGTTGTGTTGGCAACATAATCAGAACTTATGGAGAGAGTAACCATTAGACACGCACAATGTAAAAACCCTAAATTTTTAACTAAAAACATTAATATTCACAGGGACCATTTTTGTGTGCAGTTGCAGCTACACTACAGCAGCTCCTTCAGGGTGGGAGTCTTTTCTTTGATCTCAGCTTCTTTCCTTTTTTTTCCTCCTTTCCTTTTTAAAAGCTCCTTTCCAGGGATTTTCTCCCCAGATGCAGGGCCGGATTTTCCTATGGGCTAACTAGGCTTCAGCCTAGGGCCTCAAGATAAAGAGGGGCCTACATTCAAATTGTTAGCAAAATTAAAATTACACTTTCACTATAGGTGAAAGGGCCTCATAAGTGGAATAGCCTAGGGCCTCTTTTCATCTAAATCCGGCCCTGCCCAGATGCCTGATTGTGTCTGGGCTGGGAAACTAAGCAAAGGCAGGCACGAATGAGAACCTGCTGGGCCATGGACTGCATTGGCAAAGTAGTTTTATACTGCAACCACAGAAATTGGATGAGTACGTCCCAATTCCCACAGTGGAAATATACTGGTAGTTAATATGGTAGTTTTTCTGAAGTCTTAATGACCTTGCTGTTCACTCTGAAGCCTACAAGGGTGGGACTTATGTAGATTCTCCAGGGATTGTGATTTTAATACTTTTCTCTATCATTTTCTCCCTGCCTCTATGCCCAGTGAACTTGTCTTTTGTAAACATCAGTGTGGGCGAGACAGGAGAAAACTTCACCACCATCATCTGGATCCCACGTCAGAACCAGCGAGATGTGGAGTTTGCAGTCCATCTTATGAGCAAAACAGGTAAGAGGAGAGAGGTGGATGTCTTCTTTCTTGCATGATCTTCATGGTCCTATCTCAGCCATGAGTAAGCATCTTTTGGGGTGAAAAACTCTGAAGATCACTCACTGTTGATGCCCCCTACAAAATCCTCATTCACTAACATCTCGTACCATATACATTCTACCACCCTTTTCCTACACCTGGGGAGGGAGAGAGAGAGAGAGGGAGAAGGAGAGGGAGGGAGGGAGGGAAAGAGTTTATTTTCATTCTATTCAGGACTTCAAATGTGTGAGCTTTCCAAATCTTCCATTCAATTCCTGGAATCTATGACCTGACCCATCAGGTTTCTTCTTATTGTTTTTTTCTTCCCTTTTCCCAGTCATCTGTAGCAATATCTTTGGCAGGGATGAGGAATTCTCGCTATCTACCCATCTGATTTATTGAAATTGCTAATTTTATATGTTGGGAAATCAGTGATTTGCAAGTGCTGGAAGGGGCCAAGTTTCTTCCTTTTGAAGGCCTCTTCTTGTAAATTCCTACTTTCCTTATGAGGAAATAAGTGATTTTCAATCACTAGGAGTCCATAGTAAAGTCTACTTTCCATCAGTTAGCCGAAGAATAATGAAGAATGGGGTATTAATCCATGACAGCAATAAATTACAACTGGCTGGATTCCCACTAGACTAAAATCAAAGGCAACACATACTGGTTCAGGAGAGTGGGGAACTCAACCACAATCTTTCTGTCTCTCCTTTTATTTCAAACAGACAAAGGACAATGGCATGATGTAGGGAAGGCCAGTTCTGGCCAGGGCTCATACAGCATTCCAGATTTGCAGCCAGGCAAACAATATCGTGTTCGACTGGTGAAAGTACACCGTACTGGGGACGTTCAAATAATTTGGGAGTCAGATGTGGAGACCAGTGGTGTGGGTAAGTTACATTGGAGAACCAGGAATTATCCAAGACTTAATAATTAATTATTAATTAATTAATAATCTAAAAATGCTCAAAATTCATCTGTTTTTAACATTACTTGCTTGCTGTTTCCTTAACTAACTTATTTGGCCAGAATAGGATCAGAAGTTGGAGGACAAGCTAACTCTAGTCAGGGCATGAGTTCCTTTATATTGGAATAACAATTTTATCCATAGTTTTTGTTTTGTTTTGTTTTTTTTTTTTAATTTGATTTATATGCTGCCCTTCTCCGGAGACTCAGGGCGGCTTACAATGCGTTAAGCAATAGCCTTCATTCTTTTGTATGTTTTATACAAAGTCAGCTTATTGCCCCCACAAACAGGGTCCTCATTTCACCTACCTTAGAAAGGATGGAAGGCTGAGTCAACCTTGAGCCTTGGAGAGATTCGAACCAGCAGTAATTGCAGGCAGCTGTGTTAATAACAGGGTGCTTAGACCACTGTACTATCAAGGCTCTTTTTAATGTGGATCTAGATTAAAAATTATTCCTACGAATTCCTCACGCAATCAAAAAGTAGGGCATTTTGGTGATAAACACCACATAAATATCACATTTGGTAAATTTTGATATTTCCTTGTCACTCTTGCAAAACAACTATTAGTAGAATGCAGGAAGAAAAGAAAGAAGGAAAGGAAGGAAGGAAGGGGTTTCTAGCAACAAAAGAATGTATTGGGTCTATTGTGGTATAATTTTAAAGTAAATGAACAATACCTATTGACAGTTAGCACTCCATGTTCTCTTTGTAAATTTTTTGATACATACGTATAGTTTAGAGCAGGGTTGTGCAAAGCCTGCCAAATGCTTTCCCAAGGATGGGTCCAGATGTTTGGAAACATCTGATCTAAGTTGTTCTGGAAATAATTAATTTCTACTCATTTTCCAGTTCAGTAGCAAGTTGGAAAAGTCCAAAATTCCGCCTTCCAATGACCAAGCCTAAAGTTTTTAAGGAAATCTTTCTCTTGTCCAAGTTCAAAGTGAAATAACATCCACACTTTTTTGTTTTGAGATAGAATATGATTACATTGAAAAGGAAGAAGGTCTGCCTTGTTAGGAATGTGCATGGCAAATTTCAAAGAGGGACCCTGAGGGCCTGATTGTAAAGGGACACCCTTTTTGTTCACAACTATCTATCAGATTAACCAAATGAATCCACTAATCCATTCCAGGGGTGTCACTGTCACTTTCTCCTTACTGCTGTTTGTCCACCCATTGCAAAGCATCCTTCTCTGCCTGCACATCTGCCAGTGCTATGCCAGTGAGTTGATATTGTGCTATTTTAAAGTGTAGGATGATTTCCTAAGCTAGCAATGAATGAAACTGACCGTCCACTACTATCCATTGAGAGGGCGGCTGCTTTGCTGCTTCATGGCCTGTGTGTTCCCAAGGCAACATCTAATTAATTTAGCTAGGAAGCTAGGAAAAATGAAAATGGTATGGAGATGCAGTTTCAACTACTTGGCCAATGTTGGGATCTGGCCTTGTATTTTAGTTTTAGGACTTTTCCACTGTGTAGACTACATATACCAGATAGGAATGAAACCAGTTTAAGAAATCCCTTTCCAGATTTCAGCCCCTTCTTTGAAAATTCTTAGGATTTTTTTAAAATATTCAGTCAAAATGGAGCTTCCTATAGGAGTGGTGCTGTGGCCTAGAGGTGGAGCTCTCGCCTCACAATCAGGAGGCTGTGAGTTGGATCCTAGATAGGGGAATATATTTCTCTCTCTGGGCACAATGAGAATATATCTGCTAAACAAAACTCTGCACTGGTGACAGGAAGGGCATCTGGCCATTAAACACTCTGCTAGCTCCATTCAGTTGCCCAGACTTCACTCCACAAGGGATTATGGGGTCGTTAAAAAATGATCATGATGATGATGATAATGGGGCTTCCTAAACTTAAATCCATCTGTGCTCTACAACCAAAGGGTTCTTCTTCTAAGTGACATTCCCTCCAGGTATTTGAACCATCTTTCTTCATAGAAGTTGGATTGTAGTCCTCTGATCATCTTTATTGCCTTTCTCTGAGCCTGTTCCAATTTCTCTGAATGTAGTGCCCAGAAAATAACACTCTACTTAAGGAGCCTAGCCAAAATAGTTGAAATTCCTGTGATTTATGAATTAAATTATACATCTTTTAAGCTTATATTAAATTATACATCTATTGGAAAGTAGTTGTAGATGAGTATTCTGAATATGCTTTTTGAGCCAGTTTTGGATCCACTTAATTATCATGCTATCCAGCCCACATTTTACTTGCTTTACTTTACTCATGACATTGGGATATTTTGTCAAATGCTTTGTTGAAATCAAGTTGCAGTTTTGCCTACTGCATTCACACAATCAATTAAAAATGATCCAATTTAAAAAAGAAATAGATAAGGCTAGCCTGACAAGAATTGTTCATGACAAACCCATGCTGATTTCTTAGTTCAAGGGTCAGCAACCTTAAACACTCTAAGAGCCATTTGGACCCGTTTCCCACAGAACTCTGTGGGAAAAAAATGAGTTGAAAAGCTCAATGAATCGTATGCCGGTGGGTGTTGCACATTGGCGGTTGTGATGCATGTTTTGAGCAACGGAGCCGCAGCAGAGGGATGAAAGAACCACTTGCAGCTCCAGAGCCACAGGTTGCAGACCCTGTCTTAGTTTATTGTTTCTAAAATGCTTTGAGATCCATATCTAAATTATCGTCTCTAGATTTTTCTGAGGTATTAATCCCAGCTAACTGGTCTGTACAGTAATTTGCTGGATCTTCCTCCTTTCCTCTTGCTGAAGAATGAGTCCATACATTCAGATTCAGAGATTCTACAGCAGGGGTGTCAAACTCGTGGTGTCACATTGTCATCATGTGACGTATCGTGACTTCCCCCCCCCCCTTTGCTAAACCAGGTGTGTGTGTGTGGCCCATGCGTAATGCATTCGGCCCGCTGGCCGGGAGCTTGACACCCCTGCTCTATAGTAACTGTTGATTGATTTTGAAGTATGCTACATTTTGAAGATAAAGCTTTGAATTTAAATGATAAGCGGAAAATCCTTTTTGAACTGGAAGAAGAAGCCAAAATATTACCTACCTGTTGGTTGCTAAGTGCCAGTGCTAACTTTGACTTGGTAATGAAATACTTGTCTGAGAAATAGTTATTTACTGGATTTACACCCTATCTTTCACTCAAAGGCTCACATTGTTGAGCCTTTGGTGGACATAGTCCTATTTTTCCTCACAAAAACCCTACACAACTGGTTGGGCTGAGAGAAAAAGAGAGTAATTGATTCCAAATCACTATTTGAGCTTCCATAGCCAAGTGTGGAACCTGGATCTTCCCACTGCAATCCAACCTCTTAGTATTTGCTCCATGCTAACTTCTTCTAAATAAAGGCTCTGCCCTTAATTTACAGCTGTGGAAGCCAGGGAGGGTTTCAGGAGCTTTGTTTTTACAAACGTATTTCCAGCCATCAGTGCTGAAACATAGTTAATTGATAGAATCTTGACTTCAATTTGTAGGAGCTCTCAGATTTTATTTTGAACCCCTGAATATGTTTTGGATTTTGATTTTGCTTGTAACTTTGCCTACACTTTTCTGACTTTTAGCTTGCCTCTTGATCTTATTTTCAGTCACAGGTTTTTTGGCTGGACTGTCAGGCGATAGATATTTAGTATGCTCTGTAACCTTCTGTGGTACTTTCTGTTTTCTCCTTTGTCCTTCATGTTCATAAGATTCTTTTTTCTTCCCCAGTTTTACTGATGGCCTCACTCCTTTAATTTTTTCTCTTTGGACTTTGTAGACAGAAAAGGATCTGATCTCTGTGCAACCTGTGGGTTTATTGGTCCCGTTATTCCTCTTCTCAGCTTACTAGATTCTATAATTACATAAGTAGTTCTACATTGAAATCACTGATTTGTGCTCCCCCTTGCTTTTGTAATTCCTTTTGGAACATTACCTGCAACAGTTCAACTGTTGGCAGAAGCACTTGTTTTGTCCTCCCTGAGCTTTTGCCTATCCCAAATATACTAAGGCAGGTCCG